TCGTGTTGAACTGATGCTTCCGCGACAAGACATGCCTGCTGACACAGCTTCAGACCTGCTTTCATTTTCTCTGCTGCATTACAGAAAGTTTCACAGGTTACATTTCACAATATCATTTCTTACATATTTATGCTACACAACATCTTTGAACACACACAAAAAAAGACAGACAATTTATTGTCTAGTTTTAATTAGAGCTGTACCGAATAGGTGATTATCACTATTCGGCCGAATACGAAGACCAACTATTCGGCCAAATAATTTTAGTGTTTAAAATATATCTAGAACAAAACATTCATAATGTCAAATGTACGCTAACTTTTACTTCACAAAATGTAGTACAGAATAGTAAACATATAAAACATTTTATGTTTTGCATCCTTCAATCAGTCTGTGGTAACTAATGATTAGGAATGAAAGTATTCTAAGTATTTAAAACAAGTAATTCCCAGTGGCTACAGCAGGGCCATGTATGCTGAAGCGGGTCTAACGTAACCACTATTGGTATTCAGCCCGACCGCAAGTATTTGGCCGAATACCGAATACTTATTAGGTCCACAATTTGGCCCTGAAGCGAATACAAAGCGAAAGTTTCGGAACAGCTCTAATTTTAATACACCGTTTCTGCTGAAATTCACAAAGTTGTACCAATTATATCTCAGGCAAGCCCCAATACAGGCAGTTCTTTTGTACAGAACTGGGAGAAAAATGTTGTACACCAACCTCTCTGATAGATGCACACATTTTTCAGGGATTAAAGGACTTGATCATCAATGCATGAGGCCTGAGGCCTGAGGCTCAAGAGCTATGCAGTCATTTTAGAAAGCTGTAGTAGACAAAATACTTAAGCAATGCTATCATTTTATAAAGCTGGAAAGATACATACCTTCTGAGCAATGCTGTGATTGTCTGTCATTTTATACAGCTGCAGAGATACATACTCTCTGAGCAATGCTGTCATTTTATAACGCTACTGAGAGAGTTAAATACCTTCTAAGGAATGCTGTCATTTATAAAGCTGTAGAGACACATACCCTCTGAGCAATGCTGTCATTTTATAAAGCTACAGAGATATACACCTTCTGAGCAATGCTGTCCTTTAAAAATGCTAGAGATAAATACCCTCTAAGCAGTGCTGTCATGTTATAAAGCTGCAGAGATATATATCTTCTTAACAATCCTGTCATTGTCTCATTTTATACAGCTGCAGAAGTACATACCTTTAGAGCAATGCTATTCTGTCAATTTATAAAGCTGCAGAGACACATACTCTCTGAGCACTGCTGTCATTTTATAACCCTACAGAGAGACATACTCTCTGAGCAATGTCATCATTTTAAAAAGCTGCAGAGTTAAATACCTTCTAAGCAATGCTGTCATTTTATAAAGCTGTAGAGTTAAATACCTGCTGTCATTTATAAGGATGCGGAGACGCATACCTTCTAAGCAATGCTGTCATTTATAAAGATGTGGAGACACATACCTTCTAAGCAATGCTGTCATTTATAAAGATGTGGAGACACATACCTTCTAAGCAATGCTGTCATTTATAAAGCTGCGGAGACACATACCTTCTGAGCAGTGTGAAACATACAACTGTGCCAGCCTCAGACAGTGGAAGATGGAGAGATTCTGTTCATTGGTCACAGAGAACACATGATCCATCAGGGCTACAGGCAAGGAACCACAGCTGCCATACAACACTGCAACATGCCTGTATAGGGAACACAGTCATTGGTTTAGTCATTCAATATAAAATCATGTACTGCAATCAAATTTAAAAAAAAAAAACATATTTATATATTTTTTAAATTAGCCTAAAAAACACTTGGAGACATACTGGGGAGGAGATCAGAACACTTATGGTCATTTCTGATGTGCGATAAAGATGACCTCAATAATGTACAATGAATGATCTGTAGAGGCACTCTACTCTAGGGAGGAGATCAGAACACTTATGGTCATTTCTGATGTGCGATAAAGATGACAATAATGTACAATGAATGATGTGTAGGGGCACTCTACTCTAGGGAGGAGATCGGAGCACATGGCCATTTCCGATGTGCGATAAAGATGACAATAATGTACAATGAATGCTGTGTAGAGGCACTCTACTCTAGGGAGGAGATCGGAGCACATGGCCATTTCCGATGTGCGATAAAGATGACCTCAATAATGTACAATGAATGATGTGAAGGGGCACTCTACTCTAGGGAGGAGATCGGAGCACATGGCCATTTCCGATGTGCGATAAAGATGACAATAATGTACAATGAATGATGTGTAGGGGCACTCTACACTTCATTCATTGCACATTATTGAGGTCATCTTTATCGCAAATGACCATAAGTGTTCTGATCTCCTCCCTAGAGTAGAGTGCCTCTGATCTCCTCCCTAGAGTGATCTCCTCCCTAGAGTAGAGTGCCTCTACAGATCATTCATTGTACATTATTGAGGTCATCTTTATCGCACATCGGAAATGACCATAAGTGTTCTGATCTCCTCCCTAGAGTAGAGTGCCTCTACAGATCATTCATTGTACATTATTGAGGTCATCTTTATCGCACATCGGAAATGACCATAAGTGTTCTGATCTCCTCCACTTCCATTCTGCTCTGGCTGATGTAATGATGGGTGGCTCCAGCATGGTTTTCCTGTCTCGCTGCTTCAATTGGTACACCCAGGGTATGCAGTTTATTCAGTGAAAAATAATTGTCCACGAAACTGAAAGCCTCACAGCGTTTAGTCTCTCGTATGGCATTAACGATGTCTCTCCTGTCCATAGATGACCCACTTCTGCCAGCTCTCTCATTGCCTTTCACATATCACATCAAGCATATAGTGCTCGACATATATTTGTTAGATCAGTTAATAATTGATATGTTTTACTGGGCACTGTATGAAATGGGGGGGGGGGGGGGGGGCCTTATGTGTAACATCACACAATCAATGATGAGAACTGAGGTAGAGACAGCAACAGTAACTTTTTGATTAACATCTTGCCAGCCACATTTATTTACCTGAAAACCTTCTGGTATCCAATTACAAAATCCACATAGACAAAGATTCAAATCAACGAGTGTCAAGCTAGTCTTTTCGAGACAAGGAAGAGGAGGAGTATGTCATACAACCTATATTCTTGTCAAGACAAGGAGTATGTCATACAACCTATATCTTGTCAAGACAAGGAAGAGGAGGAGTATGTCATACAACCTATAGTCTTTTCCAGACAAGGAAGAGGAGGATTATGTCATACAACCTTTAGTCTTTTCAAGACAAGGAAGAGCAGCAATATGTTTCAACAGTGTAGGACAGTGTTCTTCAACCTTTCTACAAGAACGGACCAGCAAAACGGGAAAGTGTTTCACAGACTAATCAATGTATTAAAAAAAAAAAAAAGAGTTTTCAGCCTCAAATGTGGGTTCTGTGCCAAACTGTGGAGAAAAAAAAAGAAAAGACAAACTGTTTCCCCAACAAGCATGTCTTAAGAGTCAACTAACTGGCAGCATCCTTCAAAGTTGGAGAGCATCTTTTGGGGTTGGAAGGGACAACTAAGTGCACATAAATAAACAAGTAAAATGGAAACACATGCAAAACTCAAGCCCTGGCACAAAGCCAAGGCCAACTAGACAAAGAACCCGGACTTCCTGTCGGAGCTTTCAGCCAGTGAACAAAGAAGAAGAAGAAGAATAAAGCCACTCACTGCCTACTCAAAAGCATGTCGTAAGAGTTGACAAATTGGAAGCTTCCTTAGCAGTAGGAGTAAGTACCCCCAAGAGGCAAGTAACCAACAGCCTGCATACAACTGAGACAGATATGTAAAAGAGATGTGCAAGCAACACAGTTTCTGCAACAGGAATACAGTCCAGAAGTGGACAAACAACCAGAACCTCCTGCCAGAATTTATAGATAGTGAACGCAAAGAATAAGAAGAAGAAGAAGAAGAAGAAGAAGAAGAAAATTTTCAGCTAAAGCAATATTTGCTGCTGCTCAGAAGTTAAGAAACCTCAAATACTTTTCATACATCTCACTAGCTGTGTTGCATTGCCTGACTCATGCAGCCACAGCAGCATCAGATATAAATTTCTGGCAGCCTCCCAGACATTTCTGAGTTGAGTGAAGAACCGACATCACAGCAATCGGGCATTCTCATAAGTACTCCATTCCCATCTTTAGCAGCCAGCGCAGAGTTGCAATACAAATGGTGCCAGTAGCATTATAATTATATGTCCCTCTTGTTTTTCCTTTGAGCGCTGAGTATCAGTCAGATCCCCTCGTCATCACTCTCACCAGACTGGTGATCCATTTGCTCCTCTGAAATGTACTGGTACTCCAATAAGGCCCTAACCACATGTGCCGTATCATGCATCAATATTTCACCAAGTTGTGCACAGCCAGCCAGTCTGTCCATCTGTTCATTTCTGAACACACCATCATCACCCGGAGAAAATATCCAGACAATACTCCTCACCCGCAATCTCCAAAGTGAAGCACGCCACTCACTAAACATTTCTGTAGACCACCAATTGAAGAACACTGACAAAGGACACTCACACATTGAAAAACATCTCCATGAAACTGCTGTTTAAGTAGTTACCATATTTTTCCGTGTATAAGATGCCTCCATGTATGTTTAGCTCAAAATCAGGAAATAAATATTTTAATCACATCCCTTGTTTTACATGACCCATTTAAAAAATTTGCAAAATGAATCATCTTATGCATGGAAAAAATATGGTAACTTCTACTGTAAATCTGAGGCTAAACCAGAAATGATAGATGACTTACTTACTCAACATCTTTGCCACAATCTTACCACAGGACTTCCTGGCACATGCTGCTCTTGTGGCCTCTAGTATTTTCCCATTTGTAAGACTACTAATTGAACAACACAAGTGAGGGACACTATTGTATCAAAACACATCATTACGAAACAATTGCTGAAGTAATTAACTTCTATTGTAAATCTGACGCTAAACCAGCAATGATACAAGACTTACTCTAAAATCTTTGCCACAATCTCACTACAGGACTTCTTGGCACATGCTGCTATTGTGGCCTCTAGAATGTCCCCATCTGTAAGGTTCAGCAGTCTGCCCAGCCTGTGTTAAAGGTTTCCAAGAGAAATGTTCAACATAAAAGCAATTGTTAAACAACTATATCCTCCAATGGAGCATAGGCCCTCAACCAAGTCACGCCAAGTCGTTCTATCCTTCGCCATTGCATGGAGCTCTCCCCATCTTTCTAACTTCATTCTCCAGCTCTCTTCTCCATGTGTTTTTTGGCCTTCCTTTATTCCTATGCCCCTCTGGGTTCCAATGCAAAGACATTCTAGTTATGCTGTTCTCTTGTTTTCTCAGTGTGTGTCCTATCCAACGCCAGCGTCTTTTGCTCACCTCTTGGTTCACTGGAGCCTGTTTAGTTCTCTCCCAAAGTTCTACATTAGTTATTCTATCATACCATTTAATTCCCTCTATTCTGCGCAGGCACCAGTTAATGAATGTCTGTAATTTATTATTAATTGCCTTGGTTGTTCTCCATGTTTCCCCCCATACAATAGTATTGATTTGACACTAGAAATACAAATTTTTAGTTTAGTATTTTTTTAAATTTCTTTTGACCTCCACAAATTCCCTAGTGCTATGAAAGCCCCTCTTGCCTTTTGTATTCTTATTTTAATATCTCTATCAGTTTCCAAGAGAAATGCTCAACATAAAAGCAATTGTTAAACAACTATGTTCTAAAAGCCAGTTCTTAATAAACTACAAACATTCATTAAGTAGTGCCTGAGCAGAATAAAGGGAATAAAATGGGATGATAGAATCATCAATGTGGAGAGAACTAAACAAGTTCCATTGGACCAAGAGGTGAAGAAAAGGCGCTGGCATGGATAGGGCACACACTGAGAAAACATGAGAACGATATAACCAGAATGTCTTTGCACTGAAACCATAAGGGGCATAGAAATAAAGGAAGAATAAAAAAATACATGGGGAAGAGAGCTAGACAGCGAAGTTAAAAAGACAGGGAAGACATGGGGAGCTGCATACAATAACAAAGGATAGAATGACTAGGCGTGAGTTGGTTGAAGGCCTATGCTTCATTGGGGTGTAGGAAGCAGAAAAAGAAAGCCGAGTCATAAAGGACTAATACTACCAATTCTCTTTCCTCTTACTATTTCTAGGCTGTAAACATTGGTAAAAAGTTCTGGATGTTCGTCCTCTTATGGAATGTAATCTTGTGACAGAAATTAAATTCAGCGTGCACCTCCATTTTCCAGACCTGGCTTACTTTTTTCGCAGACTGTTGGTTCCTCACCTTTCAGGCAGGTGCGCTCTGACTTTCCATGAACAATCTCTAATAGGTTACCTTTTATGACATGCTTCTTAGGGAGGCAATGGGTCTCTTCTGACCCCCCCCCCCCCCCCCCCCACAAAAAAAAGGGGGAGCCTTGAACCCACATGGGGAATACTACCAATAAGGATCTGGATGGGTTGGAAGTTCAAACTGAGAAAGAAGAAGTGCAACAAAGTGGGACATCATTTTTTATTACATCAACATTGTGGAGCTGTAGGTATTAATATATGCTGCAGTGGAATAACCTAAAACACAAATGGTGGGTTCTCTGGTTAAAAAAAACAAGGTCACGTAAAAATGAACAGAATTTAACAAGTATCCACAAACCATAAGTTGTAAACCCTTTGGCTCGGTACTATGGATATCGCAACCCTTCGGCCTTGATTCCATGACAGATACCCTAAATCTGGGAGAAATGTAGCTTTTCTGCCTACACCCGGGCGTAAGCCCAGACCACAAGGAGTTTGTCCTCCAGTCGCTGCACAGAGGGTTTCAACCAACTGAGCTAGGACATTGCTACTTCCATCAAAGACTGACAAGCAGAATGGCTAGCAAACTAACAGCCGATGGTAACTTCTGACAGAAGAATGAATGGCTCAAGCATCTTCCATGATGTATTCATATCTATGGGGAGGGAAACAAAGTTAGTTGCAGAACCAACCCCAGAATTTTCTGGCTGTTGCGGTTTTTCTAAGCAAATTTACATTCAGTAGTTTGCAATTTCTTTTTGAATGGTCAGGTCTCGTTACCACTGTTAAAACAACGCAAGGCTGTCTGCTGCCAAACTGCCTGAGGTGGGATCGAACCCAGGCACCCCAGCGCTCACAACATCTAAGCCACAGACGTTGACATGAAGAAGGAGGTAGAACTTTAATATAGCAACAGGGCGCACATAAAATATTTCACTCACTTAAACAGATTCCGTGTGACACCATACAAGACTTACACCAAGAGGAGAGGCACACAGAGCAAGAGGGAGACCTAACAGAAAACAGACTGACAGCATCAAAGAAACTCTTCAGGAGCATGATGTGTCTATGGTTGGGGAAGCCAGATGAGCAAGAACAGAATTGTATAGCTCATTTGACACTCAAAGCATTAAAAGAGGGAGTTAAGAAAATGCAGAAGATTAATATTTACATTAATATCTACTTAACCTGTGCTATCACAAACATGAACGCAAAGATAGCAACACAAACAAGATTGAAATCCCCATTAATGTCTACTTAACCTGTGTGTACAACATGAAGAAAGCAAAGATAGCAACACAAACAAGACTGAAATCCCCATTAATGTCTATTTAACCTGTGTGTACAACATGAAGAAAGCAAAGATAGCAACACAAACAAGACTGAAATCCCCATTAATGTCTACTTAACCTGTGTGTACAACATGAAGAAAGCAAAGATAGCAACACAAACAAGACTGAAATCCCCATTAATGTCTACTTAACCTGTGTGTACAAACATGAAGAAAGCAAAGATAGCAACACAAACAAGATTGAAATCCCCATTAATATCTACTTAACCTGTGTGTACAACATGAAGAAAGCAAAGATAGCAACACAAACAAGACTGAAATCCCCATTAATGTCTACTTAACCTGTGTGTACAAACATGAAGAAAGCAAAGATAGCAACACAAACAAGATTGAAATCCCCATTAATATCTACTTAACCTGTGTGTACAACATGAAGAAAGCAAAGATAGCAACACAAACAAGACTGAAATCCCCATTAATGTCTACTTAACCTGTGTGTACAACATGAAGAAAGCAAAGATAGCAACACAAACAAGATTGAAATCCCCATTAATATCTACTTAACCTGTGTGTACAACATGAAGAAAGCAAAGATAGCAACACAAACAAGACTGAAATCCCCATTAATGTCTACTTAACCTGTGTGTACAAACATGAAGAAAGCAAAGATAGCAACACAAACAAGACTGAAATCCCCATTAATCTTTACTTAACCTGTGTCAAAAAGCAAAGATAGCAACACTAACAAGATTGAAATCCCCATTAATGTCTACTTAACCTGTGTCAAAAAGCAAAGACAGCAACACTAACAAGATTCCCCATTAATGTCTACTTAACCTGTGTGTACAAACATGAAGAAAGCAAAGATAGCAACACAAACAAGACTGAAATCCCCATTAATGTCTACTTAACCTGTGTGTACAAACATGAAGAAAGCAAAGACAGCAACACTAACAAGATTCCCCATTAATGTCTACTTAACCTGTGTGTACAAACATGAAGAAAGCAAAGATAGCCACACTAACAAGATTAAAATCCCCATTAATGTCTACTTAACCTGTGTCAAAAAGCAAAGACAGCAACACTAACAAGATTGAAATCCCCATTAATGTCTACTTAACCTGTGTGTACAAACATGAAGAAAGCAAAGATAGCAACACTAACAAGATTCCCCATTAATGTCTACTTAACCTGTGTGTACAAACATGAAGAAAGCAAAGATAGCAACACAAACAAGACTGAAATCCCCATTAATGTCTACTTAACCTGTGTGTACAAACATGAAGAAAGCAAAGATAGCAACACAAACAAGACTGAAATCCCCATTAATGTCTACTTAACCTGTGTGTACAAACATGAAGAAAGCAAAGACAGCAACACTAACAAGATTCTCCATTAATGTCTACTTAACCTGTGTGTACAAACATGAAGAAAGCAAAGACAGCAACACTAACAAGACTGAAATCCCCATTAATGTCTACTTAACCTGTGTGTACAAACATGAAGAAAGCAAAGATAGCAACACTAACAAGATTAAAATCCCCATTAATGTCTACTGAACCTGTGTCAAAAAGCAAAGATAGCAACACTAACAAGATTAAAATCCCCATTAATATCTACTGAACCCGTGCTGTCACAGACTATGAAGGAAGCAAAGGCTCAAAACATTAACCTATCTTCTATGTCATAGGAGTCAATTAATTGAAGAGAGTTTGCTACTGAATCTTGTAGAAAAACTGTAGCCTCAATTCCAGCAAAATTGAATACTTAAAAAAAAAATTTTTTTTGTAAGGAAATGGATAAAACATAATAAGTAAATAAATAAAATGTAAATTAGGTAAATAGTGTTCTTTAGCTATTTTCTCCAAGAATGCATGTATATTTGAAAATGAACAGGCAGACAGACTGGCTGGTGCTGCACAATTTGGTGGTGATTTGGTGCTGTGACAAGCTAGATGTGGACAAGGTCATTTTGGAACAAGCGAATAATGCAAAAGCTAGGATATCATTATGATGTTGATATTTTATAATGGACAGATCAGAACAAGCCGTTATCCTCCGCCTCAGAACAGGGCACAATCGATTACGTAACCACATGTTCACAAAATTCAAGATAGGCGTATCAGCCACGTGCATCTGTGAAAAGGTGCCACAGACAGCAGAGCATGTACTCCAGAACTGCACCGAATTTGATACATTAACCAAACTGCTGCTGGTACCGCCGGAACTCTCCCCCAGCTGCTGAACAAGACAATTTAGAAATGACCAGTGATGTGACACTGGTTCTTGCCTCAACTCAGCACGAACAGAATGATCTGTCACTTGAACCTACAGGGAAAAATAAATGCAGAGGGTGGTTAAAAAAAAAAAAAACCGCACTGTGAAGAGAATTAGTAGCATGGATGAATATAAAACTGAGCTTACCCAACCAAAACTATGCTGCTGGAAGTCTCGGCTAGCTGGGAGAAGTAGTCCATGCATCTCTTCTTGTCACTGAGGACAACATCGTTCAAACATACTCCCTTGTAAATCTGCAAGAAAGTTTAGACTTCATTTATCTTCATTCATAATTATCTCTAATTGATATGAATTAAAAAGACACTTTGTAAACTTTAATATCGAAGACTATGAGTCACTCCCCTTTACCCTTTTCCCGTTCAAAATAAGTTGCTTCTATTTTCTCCTCCTTGCCTATTATAAAACTTGTGCACTGTCTTCTTTTCCATCTTTCTTAGTCACAATTTGTACTTTAAAAAAAAAAAGTATGAATGAATTACTTAATGAATCAAACAAGCCCCGATGTCATTTTACTTGGAGCATTCCCACATGTACCCCCTTCCCCTCCTCAGTAGCTAACAAGTGTGATGAAAACCGTCCAGATCCTGTGTACCCCCTTCCCTTCCTCAGTAGCTAACAAAGAGTTTCCACTCTCCTGTGTGATGAAAACTCTCCAGATCCCGTGTACCCCCTTCCCTTCCTCAGTAACTAACAAAGAGTTTCCACTCTCCTGTGTGTTGAAAACTCTCCAGATCCTGTGTACCCCCTTCCCTTCCTCAGTAACTAACAAAGAGTTTCCACTCTCCTGTGTGTTGAAAACCATCAAGATCCTGTGTACCCCCTTCCCTTTCTCAGTAACTAACAAAGAGTTTCCTCTCTCCTGTGTGTTGAAAACCGTCCAGATCCTGTGTACCCCCTTCCCGTCCTCAGTAGCTAACAAAGAGTTTCCACTCTCCTGTGTGTTGAAAACCGTCCAGATCTTGTGTACCCCCTTCCCTTCCTCAGTAGCTAACAAAGAAATTCCACTCTCCTGTGTGTTGAAAACTGTCCAGATCCTGTGTACCCCCTTACCTTCCTCAGTAACTAGAGTTTCCACTCTCCTGTGTGTTGAAAACCCTCAAGATCATGTGTACCCCCTTCCCGTCCTCAGTAGCTAACAAAGAGTTTCCAATCTCCTGTGTGTTGAAAACCATCAAGATCCTGTGTACCCCCTTTCCTTCCTCAGTAGCTAACAAAGAGTTTCCACTCTTCTGTTATTTGAAAACCATCCAGATCCTGTGTACTGCCTTCCCTTCCTCAGTAGCTAACAAAGAGTTTCCACTCTCCTGTTATTTGAAAACCATCCAGATCCTGTGTACCGCCTTCCTTTCCCCAGTAGCTAGAGTTTCCACTATCCTGTGTGTTGAAAACTCTCCAGATCCTGTGTACCCCCTTCCCTTCCTCAGTAACTAACAAAGAGTTTCCACTCTCCTGTTATTTGAAAAACCATCCAGATCCTGTGTACCCCCTTCCCTTCCTCAGTAACTAACAAAGAGTTTCCACTCTCCTGTTATTTGAAAACCATCCAGATCCTGTGTACCGCCTTCCCTTCCCCAGTAGCTAGAGTTTCCACTATCCTGTGTGTTGAAAACTCTCCAGATCCTGTGTACCCCCTTTCCTTTCTCAGTAGCTAACAAAGAGTTTCCACTCTCCTGATATTTGAAAACCATCCAGATCCTGTGTACCCCCTTCCCTTCCTCACTAGCTAGAGTTTCCACTATCCTGTGCGTTGAAAACCATTTAGATCCTCTGGTCACTCGTTTCTATTTTTCAAAGCCTGCTCAGTGAGTCTGTTAAATTACACCATTTCAGGTTTTACTTCTTTCCAGCCATCAAAAAGCTGCTGTTACTGCCTCCACCTCCATTCCCATAACAGATTCTGTGAATTTACATGCGAGGCTCCATTTTATTTTTCGAACAATATGCATTCACCTTAAAAATGAAACTCCACCAACTCTTTCTACCTAAGCCGATCTAGACTAAAAAAGAAATCCATAGCTAGTAGAAGAAACATAATTTTGACATATAAAGTATTTATAATTAAATGAGTGAAACTGTTCAAATGGCACATAAAATATCTTCAGGTTTAATCAATCAGTTGACTGCTCTTCTGCAAATGTGCCGATAGTTTTTAGGCATACAGGCTTTCCGTCAACTAATTTTTTTTTAAGTTCTAGGATAACTGTGTTTTTTTTGTTTTTTTTTAAACAATATATTTCTATTCTAAAGCATCTACCATGGTATTATTTGTATATTACTCTCAAAAGCGCTACATAAAACTCCTGACACCATATATGGTCAGTATTGTAACCATCATATACCATATTCATTGTTTTCCAACTCAGCGTGATCACCTAAGTCTGAAATCATGTAAGTATTATCTTTCTGTTGTCCACTTTTTTTCCGCATCAGGTTTGTTAGTTGTCACTAATTTTTCAAATTAACACATCCAATTATTTTGTGACCGTCCTTGTGAGAGAGAGAGAGAGAGAGAGAGAGAGAGAGAGAGAGAGAGAGAGAGAGAGAGAGAGAGAGAGAGAGAGAGAGAGAGAGAGAGAGAGACGAGACAGAGAGAGAAGAGGGAGAGAGAGAGAGAGAGAGAGAGAGAGAGAGTGTGTGTGTGTGTTATGTGTACGCTTGCGTGTGATGTATCGACTAGATTCTCGACTACGGGTCCGAAGGCCCTGGGTTCAAATTTGCACTGAATCACATTTTTTTTTTTTAAAGACGTTGCCTTCCAGGTCAACCCAGCCGAAAATGGATGCCAGGTCAAATTAGATAATAGTTCCAAAGACAGCTGTGGAAGCACATAACCACTGCAGCCAACCTTTATGGAGCAGACGACGCACACACACACACAAAGTCAGACAATATGTTGAAAGTTACCTCAAGACACCAAACATTTTTAATTGTCTGAACCATCTTTTCAGTTTCTTCCATCTCCAGTTTGTCTGTAAAATGAAACGAAACAAGTCTGAATTACAATCTGAAATTGTAACAATATTAAACTGAAGTTGACACAGCATTAAATATCTACATAAATAAAAAATACAAAAAACTGCATAATGTGTATTACTCTGACAAAGTAAAGACTTGAGGATGTAATGATTAACTCTTTGAGTCCTAGGGGGTTTAGCATCACAGGCCCAGGGGGTAGTAAAGAAAGTAATAAAATCGGCACATCATGCGTTCATTGGGCTTATAGGTAGGAACCTATGAACGTATGATGTGTTCCTTGGGACTCAAAGAGTTAACAAGAAACTAATTATTTTAGTGAAAGGAGGAAAGGAAATTTTCAAAGAGGGGAAAAAAAAAAAAAAAAAAAAAAAACCTTCACTGAAAGAGTATGTACATCTTGTTTTTTAATCTGGCAATATGTTGCGCTGTCTATAAAAAAAATATATAGTCACGTTTCCCTAGTACAGGGATATTGAAATAGGGCCCTCTGGTCTGTGATGATCTTCACTTTCAAAATGTTGGCCCTAAGTAAACATAGTTGAATAGCCCTGCCCTAGCGTGTGTAAGTAAGTTGGGTTATCACCATTGCACTCCGGACATGTCCATAGGTGCTCAGATCCTCCCTTCAGTATGAACCCCAACGTCCGATAGCTAATAGTACCAGTTCTATGTTGATTAACAAGTCTTCTGGTGTGTCTGGTGTGTGTCTCCCTGCCCTAGTGTGTTCAGATGAAACGTAAAAGATATAATTACACACCGGTGTTTCTGGTACACACAAACTACTGCTGATCATACATGGTTCCCAGCGCAGGTTCCGGGGCCCCACTGTGTCGGGGTGGGAATTGATACACCGCCCTACCCACCCAAGCAAGCATGTTGTACAAGGCAACTATTCAGGGGTGTTTCCTTCAAAGTGGGAGAGCATCTGCCTGAGAAGTGAGGAACCAACAGTCTGCATACAAATACGCCAGTATGTAAGTAGTAGTAGTAAGCAAGAAAGTAAGTAAGTAGTAAGCAAGTAAGTAAGTAAGTAGTAGTAAGCAAGTAAGTAAGTAGTAGAAAGCAAGTAGTAGTAAGCAAGTAAGTAAGTAAGTAAGTAAGCAAGCAAGTAAGTAAGCAAGTAAGTAAGCAAGCAAGCAAGCAAGTAGTAGTAAGCAAATAAGTAAGTAGTAGCAAGCAAGTAAGTAAGTAAGTAGTAGTAAGCAAGTAAGTAAGTAGTAGTAAGCAAGTAAGTAAGTAAGTAGTAGTAAGCAAGTAAGTAAGTAAGTAGTAGTAAGCAAGTAAGTAAGTAAGTAGTAGTAAGCAAGTAAGTAAGTAGTAGTAAGCAAGTAAGTAAGTAAGTAGTAGTAAGCAAGTAAACAGTAGTAAGCAAGTAAGTAGTAGTAAGTAGGCAAGTAAGTAAGTAAGTAGTAGTAAGCAAGTAAGTAAGTAAGCAAGTAAGTAGTAGTAAGCAAGTAAGTAGTAGTAAGTAAGCAAGTAGTAGTAGTAAGCAAGTAAGTAAGTAGTAGTAAGTAAGCAAGTAGTAGTAGTAAGCAAGTAAGTAAGTAAGTAGTAGTAGTAAGCAAGTAAGTAGTAGTAGTAAGCTAGTAAGTAGTAGTAGTAAGCAAGTAAGTAGTAGTAGTAAGCTAGTAAGTAGTAGTAGTAAGCAAGTAAGTAAGTAGTAGTAAGCAAGTAAGTAGTAGTAAGCAAGTAAGTAAGTAAGTAGTAGTAAGCAAGTAAGTAGTAGTAAGCAAGTAAGTAGTAAGCAAGTAATAGTAAGCAAGTAAGTAGTAGTAAGCAAGTAAGTAAGTAGTAGAAAGCAAGTAAGTAAGTAAGTAGTAGTAAGCAAGTAAGTAGTAGTAAGCAAGTAAGTAAGTAAGTAGTAGTAAGCAAGTAAGTAAGTAGTAGTAAGCAAGTAAGTAGTAGTAAGCAAGTAAGTAGTAAGCAAGTAATAGTAAGCAAGTAAGTAGTAGTAAGCAAGTAAGTAAGTAGTAGAAAGCAAGTAAGTAAGTAAGTAGTAGTAAGCAAGTAAGTAGTAGTAAGCAAGTAAGTAAGTAAGTAGTAGTAAGCAAGCAAGTAAGTAAGTAGTAGTAGTAAGCAAGTAAGTAGTAGTAGTAAGCTAGTAAGTAGTAGTAGTAAGCAAGTAAGTAAGTAGTAGTAAGCAAGTAAGTAGTAGTAAGCAAGTAAGTAAGTAAGTAGTAGTAAGCAAGTAAGTAAGTAAGTAGTAGTAAGCAAGTAAGTAAGTAGTAGTAAGCAAGTAAGTAAGTAGTAGTAAGCAAGTAAGTAAGTAAGTAGTAGTAAGCAAGTAAGTAAGTAAGCAAGTAAGTAGTAGTAAGCAAGTAAGAAGTAGTAAGCAAGTAAGTAGTAGTAAGCAAGTAAGTAGTAGTAAGTAAGCAAGTAGTAGTAGTAAGCAAGTAAGTAAGTAGTAGTAAGTAAGCAAGTAGTAGTAGTAAGCAAGTAAGTAAGTAAGTAGTAGTAGTAAGCAAGTAAGTAGTAGTAGTAAGCTAGTAAGTAGTAGTAGTAAGCAAGTAAGTAGTAGTAAGCAAGTAAGTAGTAGTAAGCAAGTAAGTAAGTAAGTAGTAGTAAGCAAGTAAGTAGTAGTAAGCAAGTAATAGTAAGCAAGTAAGTAGTAGTAAGCAAGTAAGTAGTAGTAAGCAAGTAAGTAAGTAAGTAGTAGTAAGCAAGTAAGTAAGTAGTAGTAAGCAAGTAAGTAGTAGTAAGCAAGTAAGTAAGTAGTAGAAAGCAAGTAAGTAAGTAAGTAGTAGTAAGCAAGTAAGTAGTAGTAAGCAAGTAAGTAAGTAAGTAGTAGTAAGCAAGCAAGTAAGTAAGTAGTAGTAGTAAGCAAGTAAGTAGTAGTAGTAAGCTAGTAAGTAGTAGTAGTAAGCAAGTAAGTAGTAGTAGTAAGCTAGTAAGTAGTAGTAGTAAGCAAGTAAGTAAGTAGTAGTAAGCAAGTAAGTAGTAGTAAGCAAGTAAGTAAGTAAGTAGTAGTAAGCAAGTAAGTAGTAGTAAGCAAGTAAGTAGTAAGCAAGTAATAGTAAGCAAGTAAGTAGTAGTAAGCAAGTAAGTAGTAAGCAAGTAATAGTAAGCAAGTAAGTAGTAGTAAGCAAGTAAGTAGTAGAAAGCAAGTAAGTAAGTAAGTAGTAGTAAGCAAGTAAGTAGTAGTAAGCAAGTAAGTAGTAGTAAGCAAGTAAGTAAGTAAGTAGTAGTAAGCAAGTAAGTAAGTAATAGTAAGCAAGTTAGTAAGTAAGTAGTAGTAAGCAAGTAAGTAAGTAAGTAGTAGTTCTTCTTTTTCGTTCGCATAAAATAAATTATCTATATCTGCAATGCTGTCTCTAGTATGAATTTCACTGTCTTTTGTAATTCACTAAGTGGCCCGTAAAGTTTGACTTTCACAAGTGTCTTTTTTGGCCAAAGGTTTTGCCTGAAAGCGTTGAATCTGGGACAGTCTTGAAGGATGTGATCTGTTGTTTCAGGTGCCAGTCCACAAATACACATGGCTGATTGGCCAATCTTAAATTTGTTGTACATGTGGCAGCGAAGTCGATTGTGCCCTGTTCTAAGGCGAAGGATAATGACTTGCTCTGGTCTGTCCATAATATGGTAATCGTCTTGTGCCAGTTTCAGTGGCATTCTGATTGATTTGATCATTCTCTTCTTCTGTTGGTAAGAGACTGGTATGTCAGGTTGTTCTTCAGTTGCACCTTCCTTAGCTAGTTTATCAGCTCTTTCTCTTTCGTTTCCGGGAACTCCAAAGTGGGAAGGTATCCACTGCATTACTAAATTACAACAGTTGTCTAGTTTGGATAACAGTGTCCGTATGCTTGGTAATTTTCCAGACTGGAGTGACTGAAGTACCGCTTTTGCATCTGTCAGGAATACTACTGTTTGTGAAAAATACCCTGTATTTAGTAGTTTCTCTGCAGTTATCTTGATGGCTTGAACTTCTGCATCATAGTTGTGACAGTGCTTTCCTGTTGGTATTTTGGCTGTATCCCTGGTATTATTAGGATACTCAATGTACACTCCTGCACCTCCGTTTCTGACTGCGCTTTCTGCTGACCCATCAGTGTAAAAACGGACCCAAAGATTATGTGGGTATTCATCATCAAGTAGACTGAGAGTGGCTGTTTTGCGCTGCACACTGTTTTGTTCTTCCTTGTCAAATACACCTTTCACTTCAGTCTTGATGTGTATTGGAAACTTATACTCCTCTCTCCAGGGGCCCGTTCTGGGACAGCATTTAAGGATCTATCAGTTGCAGGCAAATCAGTGGTTTGTCTGCCGAGCCGTTTGGCCTGGTGGATAAAACTACTTCTCTTTAGTCGTCCCAAAGCCAAATTTTGGAATCTTTCATTCATAGGGTGACTGGGCATACTAAGAAACTTTTCTGCTTGTAAAAGCATCTTGGTGTCTCTGCGTTCACTCAGTGCTGGGGTCATCCCCATTTTCTCCATCACAGCTATAGGTGTTGATTTCATACTGCCTGTGGTAACTCTGAGTGCTTGATTTTGCACTTTGTCTAATTCTTGCAATGTGGTTTTTGATGCCGAACTCCATGCTGTTGATCCGTATTCAAGATGTGGTCGAACACTTTGTTGGTAAACTTTCCTAAGTATTTTCCCGCTAGCACCCCAAGTGGTTCCACGTAGTTTTCTCAGAATGGCTACCTTCTTTCTGGCTTTGGTTGTTGCCCTGTTGATGTGTTTTCTCCATGTTAACCTTTCATCAAACGTTACTCCGAGGTATGTGGGCTCCTTATCCTCTCTCAGGGGTACTCCATTTATGCGTATGACGCCTGATTTTTGTTTAGGAGAAAGGGTAAAGAGGGTGGTGCTACATTTGCCTATGTTGATGCTGACACACCATTTGTCTGCCCATTTAGCCATTACATCTATGGCTCTTTGTAGCAGTCTGGTGGCCACTGTTGCATGTTCATTTGTACACCAGAGTACCAAGTCATCAGCATACATTGCAGCTTTAATTCCATGGGGTAGTTCAGGTCATTGATATAGACTAGGAAGAGTGTAGGGGACAGGACACCTCCTTGTGGTACGCCATGGCGCAGCAAAACTTCCTTACTCTTAAGTCCATCTATCTGTACTCGGGATCTTCTGTTATACAAGTATGCTTTCACCCATTTGTACATACTCCCATTCACCCTGCAGTCTCTCAGTTTCTTCAGTAGACCTTTCCAGATCTTGTCAAAGGCTTTCTTCAGATCTATCCATGCCGTTAGCACTAGCTTCTTTTCCTGGAAGGCATCCTCAATTTCTTGTGAAAGGTAAGTTGTCTGGTCTTCTGTGGAGTAGCACTGTCTAAATCCTGCCTGCTGCGGCATGATAATGTTTTCACTTTCCAAGTACCATTAGAGTCTAAGGTTGACAATACGTTCCATTGTTTTACAGAGGTAGCTGTTAAGACTGATCAGTCTATAGCTGGAGGTATCAGAACTGTCCTTTCCTGGTTTAAGCAGAGGTATTTTAATTGCTTCTCTCCATATCTGAGGAACTTTGCCACTGGTCCAACAATGATTAAAGATCTGTAGCAGCTTTATTTTGACAGTTGTTCCAAGGTTCTTGATCATTTCGTTGGTGATACCATCAATTCCAGGAGATTTTCCCATTCTCAGCTTTGATATTGCTAATTCTAACTCGCTGGATGTAAATGCTGCCACCAGTGCCTCAGGAATTATATCATTTTGTCTTGTATGCTGTTTGTTCTCTCGAACCTCTCGCTGTTTCTCTGGGCTGACATTAATGTTGCTGTCTTCTGCAAAAGAATCTGCAAAGTGGTCAGCTGCCTGTTTTCTTGTTGGGATGGCTCCCTCTTGGCATAGTGCAATATTACAATTTTTTCCTTTATTCTCATCATTAATTTGTTTAATTAACCTCCACAACTTCCTTGTGTCTCTTTCAAAGTTTAGAGACTTTGTCTTTTCTTGCCAGCTTGTCCGTCTAGTCTGCAGTTTGGCTCTTCGGAATTTGGCCTTTGAATGTTGATAGTTGTTGAACTGCTCCTGACAAGGTCTGGTCTCAGCTTGTTTTCTTTCTGTTTCCATATTGTTGTGCAGTTGCTCCAGATCGCAATTCCATTACGATTTATATTGTTTACGAGCACCCATTGGAACTGCTTCTAGGGCTGCCTGCAGCATGCGTCTGCTCAGCTCTTGGACTACTGTTCCTACGTCGTTATTTGTGTTCAGATTTTCCAGCAGAACATTTGTGCGAAGCTGATACAACTTCCCGTCTGCCTTCTTAAAATTCCACCTTGGCAGTGTGCTGCTCTCTTTTACAGACTGGCTTTCTATAGTTAGAAAGACTGGCTGGTGGTCACTGCCTCCTAGTTGCTTCCCAACAGTTCTGGTAACATTCAGTTCCATGTCTGCTGAGTGAAAGGCTAGGTCTGGTGTCGAGGTGGTATGCCATGCTCTAGAGTAGAAGGTTGGTGGGTCGGTTGGCTTATTAACGAGGATGAACCTATTCTCATCCTGCCAGTCCTCTAGTTTCTCTCCTCTCTGGTCCATATGATCGTAGCCCCAGCTTTGGGAGTGGCTATTGAAATCCTCGCAAATTATCATTTTTTTCATTTACTAGTACTGTATCCAGATAGTAGTAAGCAAGTAAGTAGTAGTAAGCAAGTAAGTAAGCAAGCAATAGTAAGCAAGTAAGTAAGTAGTAGTAAGCAAGTGAGTAAGCAAGTAATAGTAAGCAAGTAAGTAAGTAGTAGTAAGCAAGTAAGTAAATAAGTTGTAGTAAGCAAGCAAGTAAGTAAGTAAGTAAGTAGTAGTAAGCAAGTAAGTAAGTAGTAGTAAGCAAGTAGTAGTAAGCAAGTAAGTAATTAAGTAAGTAGTAAGTAAGTAGTAGTAAGTAAGTTGTAGTAAGTAAGTAGTAGTAGTAAGAAATTAAATAGTAGTAAGTAAGTAAGTAGTAGTAAGTAATAAGTAAGTAAGTAAGCAGTAGTAAGTAAGTAAGTAAGCAGTAGTAAGTAAAAAAGTAAATAGTAGTAAGTAAGTAAGTAGTAGTAAGTAAGTAAGTAAGTAGTAAGTAAGTAGTAGTAAGTAAGAAGAAATTAAGTAGTAGTAAGTAAGTAAGTAAGCAGTAGTAAGTAAAAAAGTAAGTAGTAGTAAGTAAGTAAAAAAAGTAAGTAGTAGTAAGTAAATAGTAGTAAGTAAGTAAGTAGTAAGTAGTAGTAAGTAAGTAAGTAAGTAGTAGTAAGAAATTAAGTAGTAGTAAGAAATTAAGTAGTAGTAAGAAATTAAGTAAGTAAGTAAGTAAGTAAGTAAGTAAGTAAGTAAGTAGTAGTAGTAGTAGTAGTAGTAGTAGTAGTAGTAGTAGTAGTAGTAGTAGTAGTAGTAGTAGTAGTAGTAGTAGTAGTAGTAGTAGTAGTAGTAGTAGTAGTAGTAGTAGTAGTAGAAGAAGAAGAAGAAGAAGAAGAAGAAGGAGAAGAAGAAGAAGAAGAAGAAAATAAAGAAGAAGAAAACTAAAGAAGAAGAAGAAACTATGTAATAACAAGTGAAACAAGGCTTACCCTCAATCAAGGTCTTGAGAAATGAAGCAGAAACCACAGCAGCTTCATAGTATTGAAACCTAGTGGTTTGCATGCTCTGAAATACAACATCAGCTTCCTGCCTAAAGGCTACCTGTTTCTAATACAGAAAAGATAGATATGTAAACATATATAGATATATGAGTGTGTGTGTGTGTGTGTGCATACATGTGTTTGTGTGTATGCTGGAGGGGAGGGGGGAATTATATTTACATGCATATATACATGGCATACCGCATGTGTGTACCCATAAACACATTTACCCAATCCCCCCCCCCCCCCCCCCCCCCATGAAAGAGTAAAGCATCCTTTTTTTTTTTTTTTAACGATTCATGATTGTTGTGGCGCGGTGATTTATGTCACAGGCGTGAGGGGAAGTTAAGTCCAACATGATGTGTATAAGGAGACACTCCGTACGTCACTCGGGCGCCAGTCCTTCACTATCCTGGTTGTACGGAACCTCACGCAAGACCCCTACAGCACGTCCTCGTCGTGCGCCACGGATAATGTCTCAAATGAGCATTAACAGAGCTGTCAGGGGATCTCGGAGTTCGGCGGCCCCCAGAGGTGATGTGTCCTTGTGGCCCTCATCAGCCCGCCCCCAAACGCTTGGGTGAGAAATGCTATCAAAACTCATTAGGAACATGAGTAGGTTTGCCAAACATACAGCCAAAATTACAACCCTTGGTTAAAAGACTGCGGAGTAAAGAGAACATTGTTCACTGCACATCCTCGGTTAACCCTCAGTGTCGTCGTCACCGCGCTGAGGTACACCACAACAGCAACCATCCATAGGCTGACCATCCTTGTACATCCTCGGTTAACCCTCAGTGTTGTCGTCACCGCGCTGAGGTACACCACAACAGCAACCATCCATAGGCTGGCCATTCATGTACATCCTCGGTTAACCCTCAGTGTCGTCGTCACCGCGCTGAGGTACACCACAACAGCAACCATCCATCGGATGGCTAAGCCTAAATGTCCGACAAAACTAGATTATACGGATCAAAATCTGACCATCAAAATTTGTATTGAACTGAAAAAGACCGAATGTCCACACCCAAAGACCCCACTCCCCCGAGTGTAGGGACAAAACTGATAACGATATGCCTGATGCAGGATGTAAAATTCTGTCGGGCTAACGGCTCATCAAAGAAATCTAACGTGCGAAGAAAAAAGAATGTACCTATCTGTGTGGTCACAAAAGTCCAAAACCCACGGGCTGCTCCCCGCTGACTTCCAGAGGGCGCAGCCGCTGTCGAGCGGGAGGCCTGATACGGTTGTGAGGTTAAGCAGGCATGTGCAGGACGTGACGATTCCTTGGGTGAGTCCAGAACCAGAGCGCCATGTGCCGGCTCTGCATGCATGGAAGCCTCCTTGGATGGCGGGGAATGCCCATGATCTGCCCCTGCCTTCCCTTGAGGGCTAACTGTTCCACAGGAGGCTGCCCCAAAGGGGTACTCCGGAGGCAAAACCTGCGGCGAAGGAGACAAAGTGGACACCACACAAATCAGGCAACGTCTCGACCCACACAAAACAATGGCCACAGTCACCCTAGAAATAGGCCTGACGTCTTCCTTCGAAGTCGGAGTACAGCTGCCCATGAGGCAGGGAAATGAAAAACGGTTGTACACGCAAAAATCAGGTCCAGGTGAAAGCCAAAAGTCCAAGCGGACGATTAACCGGGACCTTCCACTGGAATTCACAGCCGGTGATCATTAAAAAAAAAAAAAAAAATGATTGTTGCATTCCTGTTCATTAGTAAACTCCTGGACTCAAGCCCTTAACTATTATTTTTTTTTAAATGTGGTTTTATCAGTGTTCTTTTGTTTTATATGCTAATATAAGTTTTCTAATAACCAGTTTTTGTTTTTTTTAAACCTGCAAATGACATGTGAATTCATAGAGGTAGCCAACCTGACAATCTGACCTGAGCAAACGAAACCAAACGCAAAGAAGTAGAAGTAAGCCCAGTCTTCATTAGATTACGCATGACTGTCTTCTTATCGTGATGACCATGTTTGTTTTCTACTGTTATCAACTGACTCAGTCCCACAGATAAACACCACACAGAACAGAATCAATAAACCAGTATTTGCAAACTCTGCACTCAGGATGTTCCCTCACATGCTCAGTCCCCCTCCCTTAGTAGCAAAGAATTCCTCAGACTGATGGTGCCAGTTAAAGATAAAAGCACACTCATTTTTTTCCCAGCATACGGAAAGTCATCCAGATGCCCTCTGCTCACTCGCTGCTGTATCAGTCTTCACAGATATGGATACTCTGTTCTGTAGCACTGTTCGTTTGTTCCAAGAGATCCATGTACCATATCGTAAAGCAGCTGGCCACCAAGAGGAGTATCAGCTGCCACTCTATCAACTTGTTTATTACCTCGCACACCTGAATATCCTGGGCCATATAATCCTGATCTGAGTCTGATCAAGCAAAGCAAGCCTGGTGAACCTTGTCAGTGCCATCTTCTAGGTCAGGATAGGTCAGAATTTGATCCAGGAGATTCATGTGCCACATCGTAAAGTAGCTGGCTGCCAAGAGGAGTGTCAGCTGCCATTCTATCAGCTTGTTCATTATCTCGCACACCTGAATATCCTGGGCTAAAAATTCACCATATAATCCTGATCTGAGCCTGATCAAGCAATTTAGGCCTGGTGAAGCATGTCATTGCCATTTTCTAGGTCGGGACGTTGAAGCTCAGGATAGGAGACGTTGTAGCCAACTTCTCTTGCCAACAATTGGTACAGGCAGTTTCCCAAACTTTTCTTAGTCGCGGCACTTTTTTTTTTTTAAATTTGTCCACGGTGCCCTAACCTAAGTAAAAGTATGACTATTCGTATGTAAGAGATCAAAACAAATAAAACCTGTCTTATCTCCAAATGTTTCGTGGCACCCCTGTGAAGAGGTCGCGGCTCCCCCAGCGCAGTTTAGGAATCACTGGGTACAGGTATTCTGGGGTGGCTGCTGTACCAGAGAACTGAGTACACATATGCATTCTCAGTGTGCAGTGATGTTAATTGTGATAACAGAATAAAGCATTGCCAGACACAAACAGATAAATAACTCTCCATATGGGTTCCGGGAGCCACATTGGCGGAGCGGTTAGATGCTCGCCTGCAGATCAGAACATCGTGGGTTTGCTCCCCGGCAGAGCCGGACTTTTTTCAAAAATGACCTTGGCTCCTAGGTTGACCCAGCCTTGAGTGGGGACCGGGTGCAGTCCCGGTAAGTAAAGGCGGCCGCTGACCACATCCCCCATCTTGTGCCGATTGGTCTATAAAATATAGGTCTAGCTCTATACGCCTAAAAGCGTGGAAAAGGGTCCTTTACTTTACATATGGGTTCTAGGGTCCCTTTGGGGGGAAGGGGGGGGGGGAGGGAATAACCCCGCTAACCCCTTAATAAGCATGACATAAAAGGAACCTTATCAGGGGTGTTTCTTTCAAAGACAGTGATCTGCCTGAGAGGCAAGGAACCATCATTCTGCAAAAAATTATTTAAAAAAAGCCAGATCTGTAAAATGGATGCGAATGCAAAACAAGTTCTGGAACAAAGCCAAATTCTAAAATTGGATGACAACTAAACTTTAAATGGGATTAGACAGCCAGTAAACACTAACAGACATGAAATTGCAACAGCATCTGAAACCCAAGAATAAAGAATGCAAAACTAATTATACGAAAATCAATACTGAAAATACAGAGTTAAATGTTAACAGGAAGAAAGAAGCAGAAACTAAATATAGCAATAGAGTGCAAAGGCAAACAGGCATCTGAGTTTAAATACCTGGGTACAACATTGACTAAAGACAGGAAAATGAATGAAGAAAACAAAAGAACATCAGATGCAGTAAAGCAAACCAAATACTAGAACAACTAGCCCCCCCCCCCCCCTTTTCAAGTCAAACATCAAAAGAGAAGATCAAAGAACACAGACAGACCAAGAACAAGATGGAAACATAGCACCAGAGAAACACTACAACACCATGAGGTGTCTATGGTCAAGGTGGTCAGAAGAGCATAAAGCAGAACCTTATTCACCCTTGGCACCCGAAGCAGTAAAATAGGACGTGAAGACAAAGAAGAAGAAGAATGCTAAGAACAAGAAAAGAAAAATGTTGAATCCTATTACTGAGATTTTGTTTCCTTTTAGGCCCCCTGACCCACTCTGTGACTATGATCATGTATATATATTTACCTGTTCAAGATCAACACTTGCCATTGAGTACTTGGCACTGCAAATGATCCGATCACAGCAACGTCTGGCTGTCTTGCTGGGCAGTTGCTTGAGGTACGGAATCAATCTGTCCACCTACAGCAGTGGATGTTTTAAATATTAAAAAAAAAAAAAAAAAAGTTTATAATTTATTGCTCTCAAGAAACTACAACTATCTTTATTTTGCCTGTAATGGAAGGGGTAGAGGACATCAGGGGCAATTAATCCACATCACTCGCCAGAATGACAGACTTGGGAGTTAAGATCAGCATGGCAAAAAATAAGACACACAAGGTACATCAGAGGACTTGGTAATCGGGAGCCACGCTAGCACAGTCGCTAGGAGGCTCGCTTTCAAATATAGCTGCAACTCGCTGCAGCCACGGTCGGTGTTCCAAACCGGGCAGTTCTCGGAGTTCACCCAGCCTCTAGGAAATAGGTACCAGAACTGACACTCTGCGGTAAATGGAGGAACGTCGCTGTAGCTACGGAGTTACGTGCGGGCAGCGACACAGGCGAACAGTTTCTTATCAGCTGTCCGTACTGGTGGCAGAGCACTTATGGTTCATAACCGTGTGCAATGACGCTGGTAAAAATCTCCCGACTTTACCTTTACTTAGTAATCAACATAGAACTGGTACTAGTAGCCACTGGACACTGGGGTTCATACTGAGGGGAGGTTCTGAGCACCTATGGACATGTCTGGAGTGCAATGATGATAACCTAACTCACTATTTAATTAGCTAAGTAACTATTTTGCCTGCATTAACCACTTTTTGAAACCACTTTGCCCTGAGAAACACAAAACTGACACTTCAGGTTGGTACCAATGCCCTGTAGGTGCTAATCATGGTTATTACACACTGGAGTGAAGGGACACATCAGTACACTTTCAGGCGCACTGGGCATATAGGGTTAGATCTATTATTTTATTTGGCACTTGATGGATGATGTGGTCAGCATCACACTGGCTGCCTTTACTTCCTGGGACTACACCCGGTTCCTACTCAAGGCTGGGTCGACCTGGGAGTCAAGGTCTTTTTTTTAAAAATAGTTTCATTGCCCAGCTTCTGAGTTGAGTGCATGGCGTGACACTGTGAGCAGCAGATTTCCTTTGAACTGTGATAAACATTTTGTGTTTTTCGTTGGCACAGGAGCGGAGCAACTATGGGATGACCCATTTGCTATGAAGTTGAAACTAAGATTGTCAGAAGATTACCAAAAATTAATTTAAAAAAAAAAAAAGTCTGGCTCTGCCAAGGAGCGAACCCACGACCTTCCGATCTGCATGCGAGTGTCTAGCCGCTACGCCACAGGCATAACATAGCAAGATCAAAACAGCATTTTTATAGGAACTGAAGAAGAACGATGCATTCATTTTCATGCTGGGCCATTATATCACATAGGGCTCACAGTCTATTTCTCTATCTCGTGCAATCAGTTCAATATCAGACAATCAGCTTTGGCCTCTCTCATCAATGTTCATTTTACGGTTTCTTTTAGGCATCTTCGCCTTTTTAATCCCTTTACCTAATGCCTGTTTGGTGATTCTCTGCAGGTTTCTTCTCAGGATGTGTCCAATGTGGCGCCACCTTCTCTGTCTTACAACCTTGCTACCAGTGGCTGCCCAGACTAATGTCTTATTTCTTCACTCCTTTTGAATCCATCCCAATTTATTTTCATCATTTTCCTCTGTCATTTGTTTTCGAATGCATTCAAGTTTCATACCATGACTATAGTGGTTCTCCAACTACAAACATACACACATGCAAACCACAGACAGAACACAGAAATTCCCTGCCTGGTTCCTCTCTATGAGCAGTCTGCACTGGAACATTGGTAATTCAACATCGTCATCAGAAATCTTGTGAGCTGATAAGATTTTCTGTGCTTGACTGAACAATCCACCACTGGCTAATATGTATTTTGCAGCTCCCTAAAAAAAAAAAAAAAAATGGTTACAGGAATAGGCAAGACGAACACAAAATTAAGCTCTAACTGGAATCATTAGTACTGGAATGTGTTGCTGGCTGTTGAATACAGGAACAAATACTTTTGAGAATGCCCCAAATGCTGTGATTTTGGGTCTTTTCTTACACCTCAACTACAGAAGAGATTTTCTTTTCTTCCTTTTTTTCCCCAAGTCTGCCTTTGAAAGGGAGACAAATGGATCACCAGTCTGGTAAGAGATGCAGCATGGAGAGAAGAGGGAATGTGTCCGATACTAAACGCTCAGAGGAAAGGCATATAATCAGTATGCTGCTGGTACCATTAGTACTGGAACTTTGCGCTGGCTGCTGAAGATGTGGAGGCAGTGCTTATGGAAATGCCCCAAGTGCTGTGATTCTTGAATCAAATCAAGGGTCTTTTACTTTAAAAAAGAAGTTGGCACATTGTGCTGTTGTTTACGCTTGAGGCTTGAACAACGGATCAACATCATGGCACACGGGTAGTTACCCATAAGTGCTCCGTTCTACTTCTAACTCCACTTAAAGCCTGAGTCCGAAGTAGCTCAGCGCAGTGCATGGGCTCCATAGCACCAGAGAGGAACCTAAAATATTTTGGGTAAATTTTTTTTTCAACTCTAAATTTTGTCCGGGCAGCGCCGTTAGGCTACTTTTTTCAATTTCCAACTGCCAAGGGATTTTTTATGTGTGCAACAATACACATGATCATCTGATCTCACTACCCAGAGACCAGGGGACATTTCTAGAAGTCCACGTAAACAGAAAAAAAATCCCAGCCTTCGCCGGGGCCCTAACCCGGGACTTCTAGCACTTGAGGCAGACACCATGACTCCAGCATCAATGTCGGAAAGCAATAAGAACGGCCTTTTTCTAAACCACCGACCATGGACAATCAAGGGGAAATACCAGGAATTGTGGAGTGGACAAACCAACAGTAATACATCCATAAGATCCTATCAGCAGACTCAACTGAAAAAAAAAAAAAATTTCCACACATACAAATTAAGTTTTAGAGCCCAAATGGGGAAATGCTGTCCTCTTCCCATTGATGTGCGATTTTTTTTTTTTTTAAAGTGGTTGTACCACTTTTTAATTTCTTTGATGTCATCATGCTTGATTAATCTTCCAATGAAGTCCACTTTGGTATGGCAACAATTTTGACAGAATTTAATGCAACAAGCTCAAATTATTGCGTTATTTTCTACAGGTCAATTCTTTACAAATAAATATGCATCAATGAAGATCTGAACCCATAATGCTGGTCTGGAGGGCAAGAGTCCTAGCCACTATTCTACATTAGTTCCCACTAAGGTAATAAACAGCGGCGTCAGTTGCTTAGGCGTTGCAAGTCTGGCTCATAATTCCAACGTACCGCGATCGAAACCCACTGCTGGCTGCGTGGATTTTTATCATGGTATGGGGCGTCACAGGTCAGCCTAAAATGGGTACCAGAATGTGTGTCCTGGGGAAGTAAAGACAGCTGACATAATGCTGACCTCATTACCCACCTAATGTTGATTGGTCTGTAAAAATATCGGTTCTCTTCCCACATGCCCGATGCGCCCAAGGCGTAAAAAGGGATCTTTAATTTACTTTCACTCTTTAATATAATAAACAACAATAACTTACCCGTGCATCATATGTTGAGTTCACTTCCCTTGGATTGAGTCCATACATTGCGAGGATGTTGTCGGCCTCCTTGATGTCCCACTTTTCTTTCAGAGAAGTCACTCTGAGAAAATCATGCCAAATAAAAACATATTTTACATTACACTTCAGTTAAAAGTATTTTGTCATGCACTGCCATCACTTCTCATGCACAACAAACCTACATTTTTATTATTTTGTTGGCACCTTTCCCTCTTTCTAGTGGATAGTATTATTTTGTCTTATACAGAGATGTGGCAATCACACAGTCCATGGCCACCAATTGAAGCCAGGAATGAAAATTCTTCCTCTCTATAAGTACAAAGTAAGATCCCTTTTCATGCCTCTAGGCGCATTAGGCATAAGGGAAGAACACCCATATTTTTAAAGACCATTCGACACTAGGTGGGTTTTGTGGTCAGCATTACGCCGGTCGTCTTTTCTCCCCAAGACATACATCCTGGTACCCATTATAGGCCTGGTCGTTTAAGTACAAAACCTGGGCAGTACTGAAGAGACTGTATTGCCCAGACAGAGTGATTCTTCTCTCTGTCCACCTGGTTTACTCCAAAGAAAACATCAATTCTAATGTGTTTAGGAAAAAGTGTGCCGCAGAAGCTGCCAGTTACAAGTTGTTGAGTTGAGTCGAGTCAAGCATTCACATCACAGGACTCGGGGCATTCCCATGCATGCGCAGTCCTCATCTTCAGCAGCCAGCGCAAAGTTCCAATACTGATGCAGCCGGTCACAATCTGGTTATATGTGCCTTTCCTCTGAGTGTAGTGAGTCATCCAGACTCCTCTGGTTACACCCAGGTGCCACATGAATACACAAACATTGGTTGTTTGTCCATTTGTGGACTTTCCAGAAATTGAGTTTTCAAGTGAACATCTATTTTGCAGATCTGGCTTATTTGTGTGCAGACTGTCGATTCCTCACCTCTCAGGCAGACGCACTGTGACTGTGAAGGAAACATCACTCAACAGTCACCTTTAACTAAATGCTTGTTGGTGAGGGAGGGAGAGAGGGAGTGGGAGTATCTATTGTTTGTTCTCCCAAAAATAGGGTTCCCAGAAGACACAAGGGAAATCCATGGATATAAATTAAGATATAACTTCCTATGTGGGTTCCTGGGCCCCATTGTGGGGGAAAGGAAGAAGATATATTGCATCCCCAACAAGCATGTCCTAAGAGTCGACTAATTGGTGGTTTCTTTGAAGCTGGAGTGCATTTGCTTAAGAAGCAAGGAACTAACAGTCTGCATACAAAATAGATCTGTTAAACAGATGTGCACGCTACACTTCGTTTCTAGAACAAGTCTAAAGTCCATCGGTGGATGAACAACCAGAACTCTCCACAGAGTTTACAGCTGGTGAAAGCAAAAAAGAAGAATGAAGAACTCCAAGTTCTTTTAGTTCAAGTTCTATTATACTGTGATGACTTCTGATATTAGGGAGGTCTCCATGTGAAGTGGTTATGCTGTCTGCCTCATGATCTGAAGGTCATGGGTTCCTTTCAATGGACAAGTTCAGTTTAGGGGTGAAATTTTAAAGGTATATCTGGGGATCGTTGTTGGAGCTATGGAGTTCCAGCTTTGAGTCAGGCTCTTGGGACTATGAGAGAGACAGAGCCAGGTGTCCAATAAGTTTCCATACACCAGGAACAATAAATGTATTACCAATGTCATTACAAGAAACAAAACTCCAGCAGTGCTTATTCGTGACTCCACGGCTGAAGAACACTTGTAAGCGCAGTTGGGCTTTTTCTTCTTGTAACAGTGCAAAGATGGATCATTACGGTCTAAGGAGATTGGCGCTGCAAGGAGTTATCAGGGGATCTGGCCGACGCTCAACACTCAGGGCAGGGATGAGACGAATATACGCCAGTCAGACGGCTAATGGTACCATCAGAGTTGGAACTCATCTGCTTGCTGCTGTAAATGGGGACTGAGCACTTATGGGGGTCTCCCGAATGCTGTGATGTTGATTCTTAATTCAACATTCTTGTAATGACATTGGTGATAATTTTATTGTTTCTATGTATTCCAACTCCGGCTGTGGATTGCAAGCTGTACAATCAGACATGGCTGATCAAGACACATTTTTAGGGATGTATAGTTGGCCATGAATCTTAGTACAGTTGTTTCCACAGCAAGGCACATTCGTCATCTGGAGGTGATATGTTAAATTCCTGGCACAGCTTTCGATTTAACGTTATCTAGTGAGTCCTTCTATCTTTCTACTCCTTTCTATGAGTGCACATCAATACACTATAAGTTTATTATATATTATGTTATTGGGCCCAGTGTGGGTTACAGAGCCTTATTTGGGGGGGGGGGGGGAAACAAAATAGACTCGCTGCCTCCCCAACAAGCATGTCATAGAAGTCGATTGGAGGCCTCCTTCAAAATTAGAGTGCATCGACCCGAGCGGTATGGAACAACAAACTGCACACAAATAAGCCAGTAAAACGGATGTGCACACAAAACTCAGGCCCTGGCACAAAGCATAAGTCCAGACGGAGGAACAAACAGGACTTTCCGCCTGAGCTCACAGCCAGTGAACAAAGAAAAAGCAGTACCTATGTATGGAAACACATGCAACACCCAGCATATAAGATAACCTGATGCAATGAAGTCAATCTTCAAAACTTTTTTAAATATAAAGAATATAACATAAGAAGCAACTCACAGCGGGTGTTGAATTGTTGTGATGACCTCTGACACGAGCTCCTCAATGAACTCTGGCAGAGGCAGCATGACATGATCCAACAGGTTCAGCACAGCCATCACCTTTGCCTGCAATTTAGAAGTGAAAGGCAACTTGATTCCAAAAGCTGTATAAATGTGGAAACTTCTAGCAGGTTTAGTCAATTTGATGACATCACAGTAAAGCAGCGAGGGAAACAAAACAGTTTATAATATGACCCGGCAGTTGTGAGTTATGAAAATTATTTACAGCAGGCGAACAAAGGCGACGAACGTCTACACAGGCTTGACACGAGCTGCTTGAGAGCCCATGCTCCATTTGAAGGAAGTAGGAAAATACAAGAATAGATAATATTTGTTGTTGTTGTTGTTATCGATCCAGCGGGGCATGAGCTTTCGCCCTTCGGCCCAATGCCATGTAGTTGAATTTGCATGTTTTCACAAGCTGTTCTTTTCCTCCGTACAAGGTGTTCCACTTGTCTGGTCTCGGAGGGAGTAGCGTTCTTTGTCTCACTGAGTTTTGGGCACTCAAAGAGATGGTGTTCAACAGTTTCGTAGGGGTAGTTACATAGCTGGCACTCTGGGGAGTGTTGTGGCTGTATTCTGTTTCGGTGTCCATTGAGTCTGAAGATGGTGGCCTAGTCCCTTCTTGTTAGATGGTTAATGCTGACATTAGGATCAGGGCCAGACATATGTCTATACACCTCTCTTCCAGTGTCTCCCATGGCCCATCTGTTCAACCAAGTCTCTTTGTTTATAGCTCTTATCAGTGTTTTTGCTGTCTGGAGGGTTGTCGCTGTAGGTGGTTGTTCTTGTGTTGCTCCTTTCTTTGCCAATCTGTCAGCTCTGTCATTACCTGGTGTGCCGGAGTGACCTGGGATCCACTGCATCACTATTCTGATGTTGTATGAGGTATTAAGCTGATCAGCATCCTGGATTATCTTGGCTATGTCAGTTCTGCAGCGTTCACTGCCCTCCAGAGCTTGAAGAGCAGACATTGAATCTGTGAAGATGACAATATTTTGGACCTTTGAAGGGTAAACATCCATTACAGTCTTTAGGTGGTATACTGCTGTTTCCAGTGCAATTATTTCAGCTTCATAGTTTGAACAGAATTCCCCACATGCATCAAAAATCTCTTCAACAGATAATATTTAAAAATACATCCAATAACAAAACTACTAAATTTCATACAAAAAATTTCAATCAGAGCACACTCAAAATTCAAGGAAGTTTAACAGGGCAAACTCTTCGCCTTTTGTTAATGGTGAAAGAGGACATTAAGCTCAGAGCACACAATCCTGCAGCTCAGATGATGATAACATTGGGCGAGCAGAGAGCTGGGTACACAATTCTGTAGCTCAGATGCTAACACTGGGCAAGCAGAGAGCTGGGCACACAATTCTGTAGCTCAGATGATAACATTGGGCGAGCAGAGAGCTGGGCACACAATTTTGTAGCTCATATGATAACACTGGGCAAGCAGAGAGCTGGGCACACAATTCTGTAGCTCAGATGATAACACTGGGCAAGCAGAGAGCTGGGCACACAATTCTGTAGTTCAGATGATAACATTGGGCGAGCAGAGAGCTGGGCACACAATTCTGTAGCTCAGATGATAACATTGGGCGAGCAGAGAGCTGGGTACACAATTCTGTAGCTCAGATGATAACATTGGGCGAGCAGAGAGCTGGGTACACAATTCTGTAGCTCAGATGATAACATTGGGCGAGCAGAGAGCTGGGTACACAATCCTGTAGTTTAGATGATAACTTTAAGCGAGCAGAGAGCTGGGCACACAATTCTGTAACCCAGATGATAACATGGGGCGAGCAGAGAGCTGGGCACACAATCCTGTAACCCAGATGATAACATTGGATGAGCAGAGAGCTGGGCACACAATTCTGTAACCCAGATGATAACATTATAACATTGGGCGAGCAGAGAGCTGGGCACACAATCCTGTAACCCAGATGATAACATTGGGCGAGCAGAGAGCTGGGCACACAATCCTGTAACTCAGATGATAACATTGGGTGAGCAGAGAGCTGGGTACACAATCCTGTAACTCAGATGATAACATTTAGCGAGCAGAGAGCTGGGCACACAATCCTGTAACCCAGATGATAACACTGGGTGAGAAGAGAGCTGGGTACACAATCCTGTAACCTAGATGATAACATTAGGCGAGCAGAGAGCTGGGCACACAATCCTGTAACCCAGATGATAACACTGGGTGAGCAGAGAGCTGGGCACACAATCCTGTAACCCAGATGATAACATTGGGCGAGCAGAGAGCGGGGTACACAATTCTGAAGTTCAGATGATAACATTGGGTGAGCAGAGAGCTGGGCACACAATCCTGTAACTCAGATGATAACATTGGGCGAGCAGAGAGATGGGCACACAATCCTGTAACCCAGATGATAACATTGGGCGAGCAGAGAGCTGGGCACACAATCCTGTAACCCAGATGATAACACTGGGTGAGCAGAGAGCTGGGCACACAATCCTGTAACCCAGATGATAACACTGGGCGAGCAGAGAGCTGGGCACACAATCCTGTAACCCAGATGATAACACTGGGCGAGCAGAGAGCTGGGCACACAATCCTGTAACCCAGATGATAACATTGGGCGAGCAGAGCTGGGCACACAATCCTGTAACCTAGATGATAACATGGGGCGAGGAGACAGCTGGGCACACAATTCTGTAACCTAGATGATAACATTGGGCGAGCAGAGAGCTGGGCACACAATCCTGTAACCCAGATGATAACACTGGGTGAGCAGAGAGCTGGGCACACAATCCTGTAACCCAGATGATAACATTGGGCGAGCAGAGAGCTGGGCACACAATCCTGTAACCCAGATGATAACACTGGGCGAGCAGAGAGCTGGGCACACAATCCTGTAACCCAGATGATAACATTGGGCGAGCAGAGAGCTGGTTAAAAGTGTCACAGCAGATGTGTGGTGTTCTAAACATGTACACTTGGGAGTGCAGGAAGTGGCTAGTGCAGAATCAGATATTCAACAACTGATTCATGACAATTCCTGCCCAGGTGATGTGATTATCTATACAGACAGATCAGTGTTCAGAGGCAAAAGAAGTGCATGGGGTGCAATGTAAAAGCGAATGGACATCACAGCCTAGGATAAGATACCACCACATCTTGTCGAGAATGGAAGTGGAGGCAACTTGAAAGAAACATAAACTGTGTAGATATGTACAAATCTTCAGACAAAATAAGCCGAATAATCGGGTCTGACAGGGTCCATCAAGATTTGATAAAAACTGACATAAAGACATAACAATTATACACCGCATGTCATGAGTATCAACACTAACAAAATTAATATAAAGAGATCTGCACGAAAACTATGCCTTTGTACCATTAGCATCCAAATGAAAACGATGTGTCATTTAAATTATACATGACCCAGGTTTTTATAAAAACTATCCACACTTCATGTATCAATATAAGAACTAGAATTGTCAAGGAAATCTATCATTATAATTTTAAATTATAATAACATGTCATGGGCGTCTGTAGGAAAACTAGCTAAACAGCACAAGTCTATGTATAACCATTACCTCTTCTTCTTCCTCACATTCACCCCCTGTACAGTGGTGGCAGAAATATATGTATGTATGTAAGTTGTACCCCACCAGGACATCACACAAGCGATAAACACCCGGTGACACACAAAGTCCCACCATGCGGATGAGGATCACCAGTGGAGAAGTCCTAGAAACCCTGCTCAGTCGTTAGGCCATATTTCAGGCCCGGCTATATTTAGGGCCCCGGCAAAAGCCAGGGTGGGGATTCAAAAATCACTAAAAATTTCATCTCACGAGGAGATGACGAGATGTATAACATGATATAAGACAATGTATGGCTATCAGACCACTTATGGACACTGGTCTTGTTTGAGAATCTGAGTTGCACATGCACATCTTCCTCTTTTCATTCGTTCGAGCAAAGTAATCGCGCTGTGCCTTTTTTTTTACAGCAAAGCTGCAATATATGTGCATCTCGGTCGACACAGCCATTTTATGTGAGATCTGTTCACCAGGTTAGCCTTCCTGTTTGGTTTTGTGCACATGCAATTTAAAAATGTTGCTTACTTGTGTGCAGACTGATGGTTCTATGCCTTTCAGACAGATGCACTCCGACTTGGAAGGAGAGGAATTTAAACAAACGCCCTTTTTTTTTGCGGCAAAGGGGTAGTGGATCTATTCTTCTTCCCTCCAAAATGGGGCTTTGCAACCCACAGAGTGAGACCTATAACCAATTATCCAGGGTGTTCAAACAAAACAGAAAACTCACCTTTGGGTCACAAATAATCTTGATCAGAGCCTTGACCTTATCTTCCCAAAGATGATGAGTATGCTTTGCATCAGATCTCACCAGCAGATCCTGCAACATCATTGACACAACAGACAGAGATACACTTAGATCTTGCAAACTGGAATATACCACTAGTTGATAGTGACAAACATTGACACAACAGACAGAGATACACTTAGATCTTGCAAACTGGAATATACCACTAGCTGACAGTGACAAACATTGACACAACAGACAGAGATACACTTAGATCTTGCAAACTGGAATATATCACTAGCTGATAGTGACCAACATTGACACAACAGACAGAGATACACTTAAGTCTTGCAAACTGGAATATACCACTAGCTGATAGTGACCAACATTGACACAACAGACAGAGATACACTTAGATCTTGCAAACTGGAATATACCACTAGCTGATAGTGACCAACATTGACACAACAGACAGAGATACACTTAAGTCTTGCAAACTGGAATATACCACTAGCTGACAGTGACCAACATTGACACAACAGACAGAGATACACTTAGATCTTGCAAACTGGAATATACCACTAGCTGATAGTGACCAACATTGACACAACATTATTTCTTTCGCTCACAGAGCATGTTTAGAAAGGTGGAGATGCTCTACACAGGCAAGCTTCAGAGGTCCCTGATTGTCAGACACCTTTTATAGGTGTGACACAGGTACCGTTGTTATTTGTGCCAGTGTACCCACACTTTCATGAACATGTAAACGCTGATAACATTGTTCCAGTTCTCGAAGAACATTTATTTAAGTTAGTTAGTTAGTTAGTCTTTCCTCTTGTGTCGAGTGCGGCACATAGGGCAGAGGTCATGACTCTCCATGCATGGCGGTTCGTTGCAATCTGTTGTAGGTCTTGGATGTTTGAGTGGCCCATGAGCGAGCCTTCCCTGATGATAGTTCTACGTAGGGTTTCCCTTGGTCTTCCACGAGATCTTTTCCCCTGTGGTGTCCAAATGAGGGCTTGGTAAGGAAGTCTTGATTTATCCATTCTAAGGACATGGCCGACATAGTTCCAGCGGCGTTTTCATATAAAATTAGACACATACTCTTGCCTGGATTCTTGCCTTATTTGTGTATTGGTTCGGAAATCTGACCATTTGAAATTTAGTATTCTTCTAAGGCATTTATTTTCAAAACTGTCTAATTTTGTGTCTAGAGTTTTCGTTGATTTCCAGCTCTCGCATCCATAGGTTAGTACTGGAATCACACAAGTATTTAAGTACTCATGATAATTACAAAGTTAGTATGGCTTCCACACAACGTTATCGACAACTGAGTAGCCACCCATTTATTCTTATGGCTCACAAGCACCCTAATCCCAGGTAGTCACTGGCTAAATACATCAACAGTACACTGGTATAACTGATCACAAATCATCCTAGCAATATGAAGACAGTCATGAGAGGCTAGTGGATGCCTCTATAGCAATAATTACGTGTTATCCTGGCTACCACACTTAATTTTATAATCCAGGTTCACAAAAGAAACACTTGTCGCAAGTATGAAAAACCACTACTGTCCTCTCCACAGTTTTAAATCCAGACCATCTCAAGCGAAAAACAATTCCCACATTTAAAAGGGCACCAAACAAACCCATCCATTCACTGGACTGTCCAACTACTAACTGCTGTGTGTCGCTCTACCTGTTTGTCTAGTCCCCCTGTAACCTCCCCACTCAGTTACCTGTATCGCCGTGCGGGTCTAGACACAACCCGTCTGACCAGTAATTGACCTGTCTGCTGTTATGAGTCAGTCTAGTCGTTTTTTGTCTTTCACTCACAGTGTGTGTTAAAGTTGACTCATGACACTGATAATTAGCATCCTTTGGATATTTTCCTTCAGTCCTGCAGGTGTGTTGGAAAATGAATAGGTAAACAGACTTGCTGGTTTTGCATCACTTGGTAGTGAATTGATGAATGACAAGCTAGATTTTTTTAAGGGTCCTCAGGGAGCAAGTAAACAGTGCAGAGGCACAATAAAGATCACCAGTCTGAGGAAAATGGTGGTGCAAGAAGTTACCAGGGACCTGGCCGACACTCAACAGTTAGGGGGAAATTTGATGCAGATTTACAATCAGACTGTTACCGGTATTATCAAAACTTAAGGGCTGAGTGCTTATGGGAATGTCTCAAGTGTGGTGAAGTCTTAATTAAACATTAGCATTTTATTTCTTTCAACCTGTAATATCCACTGAAGGAACTTTCTAGTTACAGTCAAGTCTGGATAAGTAGAAGTCGCAGGGACCTAAAAAAAATGCTTCTACTTATCAGGATTTCTACTTATCTAGACAGCACACAATAGAGAAAATTGTCAGGAATAAGTTGGTCATGTCGACTTTACTGAAATTCGACTTATCTGAGTTCGACTTAAGTGAACTCGACTGTTTACTATTATAAGGGCTCATTGTGTATTGTATTAAGCACCGGTCTTCTTCTCACCATCTGATTCACTGGAATATGTTCACTTCTCTCTTTTTAACTCTGCATTAGTAACTCTCTTATACCATTTGAGTTTGTGTATTCTGTTCATTTACCTGTATGTACTTGGCAAACACTCCATCATGGTCTATTTTGTGGTGTTTCAGATAGGGCAACACCTGTCCGTTCAACACAACAGGCAGTAAGTGGACATCCAAGACCCCATCCAGCATTCTGTATGCAATACTCTCTTTAGTCTCCTGTCAAAGACGATCAACAAAACATGTATTTCAGTTGATGATAACAAAATTATAATTCTGTGACTATTCTAAAAGAGAGAGAAAAAAAAAAAGGCAATACATCTGCAATGACTCTCTGGGCTCTAGTGATGCTGCCTGCTCAGGCACACTTACAAAACTTCATCATAGCAAGCTAGAATAGGAACAAACGTAGAGAACACTAAACTGTTGACAACTGTATGATCCCAGGATACGTTCATTTCAGACATTCCAAGCACCACAAAACCAAGCTCTCACCGTATCAAACAACAAAAATGGGCTCTCTCATTCACTCCAAGTTTAAGTATTCTTTTCTTCACATGCACTCAAAATTTTACTCATGATTTCATGCTTTGCTCATTTAGCATACTTCATCCAAACTGCACGTTTGCCTCCAGCTGGTATCACTTTTGTTCATGCAAAAAATTATAATTAGTAATCGATGCCATCCATCTGGATTCTCGCAAATAATCTATGTTTAGTAGTTTTTCTTATTTCCAAACAATGAGAGAAATTACCAACACAGAGAAATTACCAACAATTAGAGACATTACCAACACTGAGAGAAATTACCAACACAGAGAAATTTTCAACAATGAGAGAAATTACCAAAACAGAGAAATTACCAACAATGAGATAAATTACCAACAATAAGAGAAATTACCAACACAGAGAAATTACCAACAATGAGAGAAATTACCAACAATGAGAGAAATTACCAACACAGAGAAATTACCAACAATGAGAGAAATTACCGACAATCAAAGAAATTACCAACAATGAGAAGTGAACAGAGAATTACCAAACAAGCAATGACGTTGGAAACAAATGGACTGAGGAAACAAGGATGTATAAGAGGAATCCTAAAATGAACATTGTTGAGAGAGACCAAAGGCGCTGGACTATTTCATCCATATCCATAGAAGTGCACAGGACAGAACAGAATGGAGGATTAGGCTGTCAGCCTTATGTAAAACAAGGTAAGGATATTGATGATGTAAATTATTAGAAAAGGATAAAAGGACCTTGTGTCTGAAATGCAGCTTTTGCTTGGTCTATCTACTCCTAATCTCTTCACATGTCTTCAGCCTAATGTTATGATTTCTCCCAAAGCAAATATTATGCTAAAATAGAATGTATCAGCTGAACGCCACAAAGGTGCTGTAAGTAAAAACAGTGTAACGAAAGGTCCCTTCAAGACACAAATAAAAGAAAGACAAAAATACAAAACTAAAATTTAAAAGCACTACTTTTTAAAAAATGAAGATTGACATTTTCTCTGATTTGTCACCTTTTTGAATGCACTGAGAGTCAAGTGACATTTGTATTTGGTTTTCAACTCTTTTAATCCGTGAAGAAACTTGATTAGTGACTTCAATGGTGACAGAGCTAGGCCACAATTCATCTTAATCTGCAACAATAAAAGTTATGCTGCATGTAATATAAGAATGTATCATAAATTACCTTAGGCAGTTGGAAATTAAGATATCTTGAGGAAGAAAAGATTATTCTCTGCCAAAACTGCTGCCGTTTTTGGCCCTACCTACTTTTGCAATTTGGGTAAAGACAGCAGCCTTTTTAGCTTGTGCTGGTTTTCATTTTCAGGAACAGAAAAACTTTCTGGCCTGCCAAGGAAAGTTTAACCTGAGAAAAGTCAAGACTGCCCATCATAATTTTTCATTCTTATCTGAAAATGCTACAAGTTCCTTCAAGTTATAATTAGGGAACTTGTAACGACTACATCAAATATTACCCTCGTGCCTCTTGCTGTCTTTCATGGAAAGGAACTCTATCTTGTGATGTGGTTGTTTCCCTTTGTCGTCTACATCACAAAGAGTTTAAAGGTTAAAAGACTGAATTCACTGCACTGGGTTTTATCCTATATGGCTGGTCTCTCCAGAGTGGCCAGCTGTCTGCTGAGAGTGTCCCACAAAGCGCAAACTCCAAAGACTTGATGATTATCCCCATAGCTCTCTAGAAATTTCACTTGCGAGCCAAGCCACACATAAAACAAACCCATGATCTTCAGAACACGAGTTATATGTTGAATTAAGAATTGACATCACAGCACTCAGAACACTCCAATAAGTGCTCAGTCCTCATCTTCAGCAGCAAGCAAAGAGTTCCTATTCCGATTTTACCAGTAACCGTCTGATTGTATTTCCACCTCATCCTTCCCATGAGTGTTGAGTGGCCAGCTCCCCTGTTAACTCCTTGCAGCGCCCTCTCCTCTGACCGTAATTATCTATCTACCCGGGACCTCTGAATTGATGCTTACCACTCAGCACGATGCATGGCTGTTTTCACCTTTCACAACATGCTCTATGATTCAGTTACAATCACAGCATGTGTGTACAGCTGATTCTCAAGCCAGTGGAAGGCAGCAGAGACTGCCTCCACCTCCATTCTTAAACCAGATGTTGGGATATAATATGCAAGGCTTTGTTGCACTAGGCGATGTCCATTCACCTTTGCTATGAAACCCCCATGCACTTCATCTGTCCCTCAACACAGAGCCATCTGTATAGATAATAACATCACTTGGACAGGAACCATTTGTTGAACTTCTGATTCTGCAGCACCAGCTGACCAATTCCTGTACTCATGACCTAACAAGATTAGAACCCTACACAAGTCTGAAACTTGTTTGGACATCTTGACACACTCCTCTTCTCGCTCAAAACTATTCAGAACATGAAGCAAACAGCTTGATCACTTTTCCAAGGAGACCCCCTACTTTACATGACAAATAATTAACATAATCAAATGTAGTCAGTAAAAAAAAATATATAAGTAGTTTTATAACAGTTTCAATTATATTACCAGAGACTTTATTTGACTTTACCTTTACTGCTTGTAGGTCTGAATAATCAGTGTCATCTACATCACAGGTGACCGCCTGTTGCAGACTTTTCAGCACAGATCCACAGACTTGTAGGGCATCATCTATCCCTGACTCCTGAAATCATAAATTTCAATTTCTCGGTCTCTGAACAACAAAATCCATAGTCATTACAAGAAGCAAAGCATTCGTGATTACTTCTCAACCTTTTAGCTGAGGTTAAAAGGTTGGTTTCCCTGCTCAACAGCAAACAAAATGAACCCCTAGCAAACCAACAATCTGGGCAGTTTCTGTTGGCTTGGCATCCAATATATGGATCTAGAGCATGGGTAATCAACAATAGTTACTCAAGGGGTAAAATGCTGAAAATTGGAATTGCTATTGTCCCAGCAGAGACAAAAATCTCTAATACAATCCAACTGGCACTGATCCGTGAGCCACTTGCTAGGCCCCTGTGGGCCAAATCTGGCCCGCAGGATGCCAATTGAACAGCCCTGATCTAAAGGCACTAGGATGCCAAGCTGGCTTATGTCGTGAAAGGCCTCCCCTCCCTCTAAAAGAAAGAAATTTGTGATTTTGTAGCCAAATATCTTCTTTTTCCTTTCATCCTCGGATGGAGTATATCTGTCAATCAGCTGCTGCCTCTACAGTGAAGGTTGGCTGCTACAAATCTCTTTCAGACTGCGGTTTGTCCATCTTTTGGTGTTGTTCTCTCGCACATATCACTGTCTTCCTCTTGCCTTCAACTTTTCCCTCCAATGTGGTTTTAAAAGAGTTTTATGTCTTTTAATGTGGCCAGAATATCTCAATTTCTCTATTTTTAAATTCCTACAGCAACTCTTTTCATCACCAATTTTCTTAAATACTTTAAACTCTTTTTCTACCAGGTAGAATAAATTAACCCATTCTTTCTCAAAAAGTTTCACTCTAAGAAACAAATTACTAAACTCTGAGTCCCGGAGGGTTTGGCACCACAGGCCCAAGGAGTAGTCAAGACAGACGTAAAATCAGCGCATTATGCGTTCATTGGGCTTCTAGGCAGTAACCTATGAACGTATGATGCGTTCTTTGGGACTCAAAGAGTTAAAATAATAGTACATTTTCAGAAACAAATAGGTAAAAGAGTTAAAGCAACAAAAGAAGCAGACATGTTAGTGACCAACCTTTCCATTCATCTCAAGAGTTTGAATCTGCTCCTCCACCCACTGGATAACACTTGTCTGCAAAAAGATTACATTATACACATTTTAATAGATCAAAATAAATACATTAGTAATAAAGACAAATCTTAACTACATAAAGCAACAAATTAAACCATTAAATTGTTCGCGTGCCATCTAAGCTATTTGTTTATTATTCAGTTTTTGCACCGTTTTCTTTATTTTAGTTTTTGTAATATTTTAGAATTCAGGTCTGATGCTGAATTTCACTGTCTAACCCTACCAGACAGCTGGCCCGTTTTTCCGGGAATTTCATAACTGTTCTTTATATATACCGCTGGCCCTAATTTTCGGCTATTTGCATAGTGCGTGAGAAAGATGCATCACTGACTAAAAACAACCAACCAATCGTCATCAGTCCGCTTAGTAAGAGATTGCAAATGGCTTCCCCGTGTGTGTGAATCAATTTTGTGTGTTTTAACAGAAAAAATTCGGTAAATTCAGAATGAAGCGAGCAGCTAATGAACCAAGTTCTAGGCTTTTCACAGTCCAACAGGTGATCGATACTTTGGTTTATTCAGACTCTGTGATATATATATATATATATATATATATATATATATATATATATATATATATATATATATATATATATATATATATATATATATATATATATATATATATATTCATTATATGTGATAATTTCATAAAGAATACGTTCTTGAAATGACACTGTCAGTGACAGCGCAAATGATGAGGACAATCTTGAAAATTATCAATCTTGAAATAGATCGATAGTAGGAGGAGGGGGTGTGTCCATCAAACGGCAATATCTGGTGTTCACTTTGTGAAAAAAAGTTGATCCTGATGAGTGAATTCGCACACAAAGGTGGAATATTGGCGCTAGATAAAAGGTAAGCCTATTTTCTACAATGTCTTCAAGTTTCATCATATTCTAGCCACTCGTTTGCATGTAACTAATATTTTTGTATATCAAGTTGGTTTTTTCGCAGTAATGCCCAGGAGCTCAGGTTATTAGGAACAGTTAGGTTCAGGGCCTTAGGTCTGGTAGATTTAATTTTGATGCAGTTTTTATGTAGTTTTTGTATTATTTTCATTATTTAATTGTTCTCCTTGGTTTTTCATTCTTGCACATGCCTAATATCTTTAAAGGTGTGAAAAACAGATCTCAATAGCCTGTAATTCTTTTGTTTAATGATTTATATGCACCAATATTTTTTCTTTCTTCTTTCTTTTCCTTTCTGTTTTTGCTGAGCATTTCTAATCATCCTTCCTCTTTTTCATGTTCTTATTGTTCACCGGCTGTAAAGTCCAGTGAAAAATTCTGGTTGTTAGTCCACTTTTGGAAATTTTCTTCTAGAACCTGAGTTTTGTATGCATAACCATTTGACAAAACTGGCTTATCTGTACACAGACTGTTAGTTCCTCGCTTCACAGGCAGATGCACTCTGACTACAAAGGAATCAGGTTGACTTTTATGACATGCTTATTGGTGGGAGTGGGGAGGGGGTGGATCTATTCCTCCCCCTCCACAATGGGGCCATACAGGGATCTTGTCATCCAAGCTATGCTCTTTGTTTCCTCTAAAGGTAAAATCCTTTTGACTGGATGAGCTGTATAATGGGAATAGTCTGGGATGGGGAAAGAGGAGTAGGTAGAGACAATCCCTGGGAGTTGAACTCTAGCCGCAGCACAGTGCACTTCACACTTCTACCATCATGACTGTGTGATGTACTTCTTAGAGTGTTTGTACATAAACATTTTTACAGGTTCCTCTTCGTTTATTTGGGTATGTAATCTCTCGGCAGGCATATCCAACTCCCTGAAGCATGTTATGTATGTCCAAGCTAGCCTTGCTGGTCAGTTTTGTGGAATGCTGCAGTCTCACCGTAGCGTCGTTTTCTGCAGTTTGCTTCATTTATTTCTATTCTTGAAAGTGCAAGATCTTTATCTGCAGGGCTATTGTATATTCTGATTTTCTCCTTATTTATCACAATATCAACGCCTATAATTTCTGATTCGTTATTACAGTTTACAGATGCTATAAGGCTTGGTATAAAGTTTTAAATAAGTATTAGAACTCCTTCCTTGTGCCCTTCTCAGTCGTGGCATATAACCTGCTATCCTCTGATTGAAAATCTGCGCTGTGGTCACTCCACAAATCAGGCTTGTCCAGATCAATGACAACATGCTAGTCAGCCTTCAAAAGAAGGTAGGGGCAGAACATTAATTAGCACTCCCTGTCTTTCCTGATAGCCTTCATAAATGTAAAGCTGATGTGCTCAGGTAGTGGGCTTATGCAAGAAACTGTCATGTCCTGCTCATGACTAGTGATTAGAAAGGATTATCATCACAGCACTCCGGACAGATCCATAGGTGCTCCAATCTCCTCTCAAAAGCTCCACAAGTGTAAAACGACTGATGACGCCTGTTAACTGTTGGCTAATGTGAAATGTTCATTTCTTGCAGTTCCAGGCTGCACCCCCCCCCCCCCCCATGTCCATCAGTCTAGACAGGGATATGGAGTCATGTCCTTTGTCGTGCTCCTCGGTACGGTAAGTGCAGCGCATGACATTGATAACATCACTTCTGTCCAGTACTGGGCCAGCCAAAGCCACTGCAGTGTCAGCAAGATAGTCTGCACGCTCGTTCCCTTGCACACCCGCAGGACCTGGCACAAAGATGAAGGTTAGGGCAGATATTCATGACTGCTTGACCTTACTTCCATACACTAAGCCTTTGACACATTAAAAGATTTTCTTTTAGACGCCAGCAGCAGCAGCAAGCAGTCTGCAGACCTGAGGTTTCAAAGACGGTCTCTGTTCAATGTCCTTACCACAGCATCAGGGTCTGATGTCACAATGAAAGGTATCACGGCTTGACACAGCCAGTCAACAACCATCTGACAGGGGACACTGGATGGAATTCTCTGCAACAACTGATGAAGGAGGCCTGGTTTCAGTTGCTCCTGCAGATCTTTCTGTGCATAAAAGGTAGATAATGTTTAAGAATAATCGACTTCTTCCAAGTGGTTTGAAGCCTAAAGGTAATAAAAGGTAACACAGGGCATCTCCTTCTCCGCACTCACCGGATATAAACTAAGCCCGAAAGTTTGGGTTTTTGTCCACTTGATTTTTGTTATATAACTTGGGTTTGGTGTGCCATTCGTCTTACAGATCTGGCCTACTTGCATGCAGACTATTAGTTTCTCTCCTCTCAGGCAGATGCACTCAGGCTTTGAAGGAAGCAACCCTAAATAGTTGGCTTTTAGAAAATTCCTGTTAGTGGAGCAGTGGGTAAAAAAAAAAAAAAATTTTTATCTGGCACAGAAGCGAAGAAGCAGGGTGGGAATTGTGCTGAACTACATTTTGTGAAAGTAAAAAAAAAAATTTAAAGAAATTATAAACTAACAAATTTTTAATTCTAATGTCAAATAAGTACTTTTGTATGGGGCAGAAAAAACATGGAGAACAACAGAGGTAATTACTAATAAATTACAGACATTCATTAACTGGCGCCTGTGCAGTATAGAGGGAATTAAATGGTATGATAGAATAACTTATGTAGAGCTTTGGTAGAGAACTAAACAGGCTCCAGTGAACCAAGAGGTGAGGAAAAGATGCTGGCTTTGGATAAGACACACTGAGAAAATAAGAGAACAGCATAACTAGAATGTCTTTGCATTGGAACCCACAGGGGCATAGGAATAAAGGAAGGCCCAAAAAACACATGGAGAAGGGAGCTGGAGAATGAAGTTAGAAAGATGGGGAGGACATGGGGAGAGCTCCATGTAATGGCTAAGGATAGAACGACTTGGCGTGAGATGGTTAAGGGCCTATGCTCCATTGGGGGATAGAAAGGCAGAAGAAAAAGAAGACCTCAGATTACGTAACGTATGTATAGAGTAGTTTGTCTGCCGACCCAAAAGGCTTAGGTTTGAATCCACATAGTGCCAGATTGTTACTAAAATTACTTTAGCCACCAAGTTGAAAATGTAGTTTGCCATTGCTCTCTAAATGGTCGGCTCTCAATACCAGTGTTAAAATCAATGAAATTCAATCCGCTGCTAAACTGCCTGCAGCTGGGATCGAACCTGGCACCTCAGCATAACAAAGCCTGCAGGCAACGCCTAAGCCTCAGACTTCCCAGGTTAACTTGGCCTAAAACTGATACCAGGAAATGTCACGGGAAGTAAATGTGGCTGGCATGATGCTGGACATCACCTGTCCAGTGCTGACTGGTCTCAACAACAACAAAATCTATGGGTCACATCACCCGTCCAGTGCTGACTGGTCTCAACAACAACAAAATCTATGGGTCACATCACCCGTCCAGTGCTGATTGGTCTCAACAACAACAAAATCTATGGGTCACATCACCCGTCCAGTGCTGACTGGTCTCAACAACAACAAAATCTATGATGAAGGAGGCCTGGTTTCAGCTGCTCCTGCAGATATTTCTGTGCATAAAAGATAGATAATGTTTAAGAATAATCGACTTCTTCCAAGTGGTTGGAAGCTAAAAGGTAAAAGGTAACATAGGGCATCTCCTTCTTCTCCGCACTCACCGAATATAAACTTAGCCTGAAAGTTTGGGTCTTTGTCCACTTGATTTTTGTTATATAACTTGGTTTTGGTGTGCCATTCATCTTACAGACCTGGCCTACTTGCATGCAGACTGTTAGTTCCTCTCCTCTTAGGCAGATGCACTCAGGTTTGAAGTTAAAAGGTAATAAAAGGTAACACAGGGCATCTTCTTCTCCGCACTCACCGGATATAAACTAAGACCGAAAGCAGCCAACCGATACAGCCAATGTGCCTGTGCTACGCAAAGGATCCTTTCGTTTTTATTATGATTAAAACAAAGAACTAGAATAAACAGTAAATTATACAGAATATGACAAAACTATATGTTTCACAAGGCACCAGCAGCTGGAACCAACCTGAAAGCAAGTCCATAGTTTGAAGGCTTTTTCTGGCTCTATCATCAAAAGTTTCCAAAACATGGTCAAGGGATTCTCATACTGAAAGGTTTCCCACTCGGAGGGGCTGAAATGTCATAAATGGGAATGTTGAAGTATAATTTATGTTATGTTATCACAATCAACGTCTTTGCACACTGGGCATTACCATGTGTGCTCTGTCCTCCGATGCAGCAGCCACGCCAAGGTACCTCTACTGATTGTTCCCATGAGTATTGGTTATAGCATCTCTTTTCTTTACCTCAAAGACAGCACAGACGTTCTTCACCAGGCTTAACACCTCAGAGCATAGACTACCTGCTGCAATTTTCTGAGGCATGTTCAGGGAGTCTGAAATGATTACCTTGAAGTATAAATAATAATAATGCTGAGTTAAGGTGAGTTTACACAGTCCAGATCACAGCATTCTGGACATTTTCATAAGCACACTGTCCCCATCTTCAGCTGCCAGCAAAGAGTTCCAATCCTAATCATACCACTAGCATTCTCACGCAGGCGTCGATGGAAATGAAAGAGCTGACAGGTTGGCTGGATCCGCTATCACTACCGACGGTCAGCCTATGGATCATGCTGATATTATCAATGCCCTCAGAGAAATGGGAAGGATAGACGACTTTGGTGGCAGTGAATCCACATCACTCGCCAGAATGGCAGACTTGGGAATTAAGATCGGCACAGCAAAAAACGAGACGCACACCAGTTACGCCAGAAGACTTGTTAATCAACATAGAACTGGTACTATTAGCCATCGGACGTTGGGGTTCATACTGAGGGGAGGATCTGAGCACCTATGGACATGTCCGGAGTGCAATGAGGATAACCCAACTAACTAACTAACTAACTAATTCTCACTCTATGGCCTTCTTGCCTTTCCTCTGGGTGTGGAGTGTCGGCCAGATTCCCTTATCACTCCCCGCTGGAAGCTAACAGAATCGATGCCACTCTAGGCAAACAGAAGGGTGCTTGTTTTCCTAACATAGACACTGAATGGTGAAACACAAAGGTATTATAACTTAAAGACAGATACTAACTAATGATATGATGCGTGTGACCTTTGATTATACTAGAGTGGAGCCATTAAAGCACAGTGGCTAGTTGCTTGCTTGCCGACCCAAAGGACTTGAGACTGCACAGAGGAGTAACACTGTATCCTATGTGAAGAAACTATGGCATAGCATTTGTGACTCCAAGTAAAAACATTGAGATCATGCATCGTTCCCGTGGCAACTAATGAATGTGACTGGTGGACCCTGCTCAATCACTGAAGGAAAACACTGGGGAGCTTTTGAACTGAAATGCTACAGAACAATTCTTAGAATACTGTGGAGCAAGAACAAAAAAAAAAACACAGACATCTTATATGATCTGAAAATCAAGAACTGCTTCATAAAAAGCATTCTGTCCCGAACGCTGAGGTATTTTGGCTAAGTTATAAGCTACGGTGGCCTGGAGAGACCGGTGATAGATTTCCAATTATAATTCCTTTTAAGAAAAAATTAAAAACTCAACCACGTTCAACCTGCTGCTAGCTAGCCGAAGCTGCCAACAGTCTCCAGCTATATTTGTGGTCTTGTTTATTTGCGTCACTTTCGTGGCTAAAGTTCAGGTATTTGTGCCGACTCTGGGCCTAATATCGTAGGAGAGCGAGCTTCTCATGAGGGCACAATTTCTGGGAAATGAGGCAGAGGCCGACCTCCAAGGAGGCAGGCAGATACAAGACATTGAAAATGCATTTGGTATGATTGCTGAAGAACTAGCTAGGTAAAGAGACTTTCAGGTGTGCCGTCAAGAGAGTACTGTTCTGCAAAGGACCTCAGCTGGTGTTTGATGATGAACCTACTAGTTATGTCATAAAAGCACTGAGAAAAGCTGGCATGCAGATGGCAACCTCGTGGGGTAAACTCAGAATACAACAAATCATGAAGTTTATAAATGGCTTGGTTTTAGGCAGTTGAAAGCATATGATCTAGTGAAAGCTGAATGGTAGATAAAGAACATGGTTCAAGAAGCACAAATAATTTTTTTAAACAAGACACACGGACACCGAACTATTGTAATTTACCACACATACTAATGGATGAAATAGAAAAAGTCATTAAACAGTCTCACAAATATAAAGCACCAGGAGCTGATAGATTACCAACAGAAATAATTCAAGCAGCAGGTGAAAGCAGCATCAGATGGCTTCACAGAATATTCAATGCAGCATGGGTACAACAAACGGCCCCAATTGATTAGCAACATGCAATAGTTATACCATTGTGGAAGAACAAAGGAAGCAAACGAGAATGCGGTCAATATCGAGGCATCTCTCTTTTAAGCCATGTTGGCAAAATGTATGCCAAGATAATAGAAACAAGACTGAGACCAGTGATAGAACCATAGCTGGCAGAAGAACAGATGGGATTTAGGAGAAATAGAAGCTGCACAGATGCAATCTTCACACTTAAACAGTTAATAGAAAAGAACATTGAATACAATAAGAACTTATTTGTGGCATTCGTAGACCAGGAGAAGGCATTTGACAGAGTCGACAGACAATTATTATGGAAAATAATGGCAAGATATGGAGTAAGCGAACACCTCATCGAAGTGTGCAAAAGTTTATACAGGGATTGTAGAAGTGTAGTTAGAATAAATCAGGGAACATCTTCATCCTTTCACAGTGACATCTGGAGTAAGACAGGGTTGTGTCTTATCACCACTACTGTTTATCACCTACATCGACAGTATATGCAAGAATGCCAAGCCCATGAATGAAGATCTTAGTAAGATCAACGGATTACTCTTTGCAGATGACCAGGCCTTGATAGCAGATACAGCCATGAAATTGCAACAACATCTAACATCCATGAATGAAGAATGTAAAACAAATAATATGAGAATCAACACTGAAAAGACAGAAGTAATGTCAATAGAAAAAAGAAGACAGATCTAAACATAGCAATAGAATACAAAGGCATTAAACAGGCATCTGAGTTTAAATATCTGGGAACTACATTTACCGAAGATGGGAAATTGGATAAAGAAATTGACATTAGATGCAGTAAAGCAAACCAAGTATTGGGACAGCTAGCTCCCCTCTTACAGCATAAGACAATCCCAATCAGCACAAAGAGACATCCTATTCAAAGCATATTTATTCCAACTCTGTGCTACCAGTGCCAGACATGGTCACTCACAACAAACCATAAAAGAAAATTAGTAACCACGGAAATGAGATGTCTGAGAAGGGCTGTAGGAGTGACCATAAGAGATAAGATCAGGAATGAGATCATAAGAGAACAAGTCGGCACAGAACCAATTCTGGATTACATACAAAGACAGCAAGTGTAATGGTTTGCCCACTTAGAGAGAATGCCTTGTGACACCCATACAAAGCATACATGGAAAGAGAAGAAGGACGTAGAGCACGGGGTAGACCAAGAACAAGATGGAAGGATAACATCAGAGAAACTCTACAACAGCACAATGTGCCTATGGTCGAGGCAGCCAGAAGAGCTAGAAACAGAACCTTATATCTCCCTCGACACTCACAGCGGTAAAAGAGGAAGTGAAGAAGAAGAAGAAAGCTAATCTATGAAGTATCTGGAAAGAAAAGGAAACATGAGAAAATTTGACTTACTTGTAGTTTTCTTCCCCAAACACCAGCCGGTATGCCTCCAGTCTATGCTCCAGCTCTAGTAGCTGAAATTGAAGAATAACATATATTTTCTCCTATTCTTCATTAAAGACGAAGAACCTCCTCCATCCTTAAGTTTTCTGTGTAAAGTCAAGAAGTGGTGAGTTTAAAGCTGACATCACAACACTCAGGACATTCTCATAATCACTCCGACCCCATCTTCAGCAGCCAGCAGAGCTCCAACACAATTGGTGCCAAGAACTGTCTGACTATATGTCCTTTTTGAGGGGGCTACAGTGGTGTAGCAGCTAGATGCTCGCTTGCAGACGAAGGCCATAGTTTCAGGTCCTGACGGAGCTGGACGTTCATAAAAAAAATGATCTTGGCTCCCAGGTCAACCCCGCCTTAAATGGGTACCATGTAGTCCTAGGAAGTAAAGGCGGCCGGTATGATGTTGACCAAATCACCCGACGAGTGCTGACTGGTCTATTAAAAATATAGATCTAGCCCTATATGCCCTTTACTTTACCATTTGTCCTTTTATTTACCACAGAGCTACTGTTTTTGCAGATAATGTAGCAATTATCACCCACTCAATGTTTACCATCTGTATTTGCTCGTCCATGCTGCGGATCTGGATTAAGAAGACAAAGATTATGAGGTAAGGTGCTAATGATAGATCTGCAGTCCACAATGATGGCTGAAGAAGATGGTTAAAAAAAAAAAGTCCAGCACTATTAAGATTTTAATCCTGTGACCTGATGAAGAGATAAGTGTCTAGCCCCTACACCATGATGGCTCTCTTTTGTCAAGATAGTACACAAACAAATATGTCTCTGAAATTAGACAACTGTCTTAACAAAACAGTCGGCTCTGTGGCTAAGTCGATGTGAACACTTCGTAATGCCAGGATGCCGGGTTCAACCCCAGCTGCGGGCCATATGGGCCTCGTTGGTTTCAACAGTGGTATCAGGGGGCAGACTGTCCAGAAAGCATTGGCAAACTACTGGACGTAATTTTGCCTAGAAAAACCACACAACAGCCAGGGGCTGTTAGGGTTGGTTCTGCAACGTCCTGCAAAGGATACACAACTAACCTTAACAAGACAAAAGACAGACTAACAAATATATCACTACACATCTGATAATATTATAACAATATAAAGTTCTATAAGCTATTACTACATTTACAGTATACATCAAGAGTGACATCCCTTACCTCAGCAAGGACATCTGTGGCAGAACTGTCTTGTGATTTATTGCGCAGCAGCTGAAAGATAGTGAAGGTCAATGATTCACTTCCAAAAGACTGCTTTTTATCCCCTCTGTGTGGGTCTTGAATCCTTTTTTGTTGTTGTTGCATTCACTGGCTACAGGGAAAAGTTCTGGTTGTTCAGCCATTTGTGGACTTTTTATCGTATTCAAGGAGATGAGTCTTGTAGGCACATCTGTTTTACAGATCTGGCTTATGTGTGTGCAGACTGCTGGTTCTTTAGATCTCAGAAAGATACATGCTGGCTTCAAAGAAAATGCTGACCCTATGTACTTTGGTCAGGTCCCTGGTTGGACACCTGTTTCTCTGAGAGGTGTAGACTCGCCTTAACTAGTAGGAGCTCTGGTGCTGGTACATCCCTTCTGCATCCCCCCTCCTGAATCCTTTAGGGAGTGAGGGGGGGGGGGGGGGAGTAATACACCCATGGCCTCTTAAATAGCATATCCTTAAAGGTGAGTGATTAAGGGTGTGTTGATGTCAGAGATGTTAGACCGAAAGGTGCATATGAGTTGAGTCAAGAATTGACATAGTATTTGGGGCATTCCCATGCATGCTCCGTCATCTTCATCAGCCAGCGCAGAGTTCCAGTACTGATGGTACCGGTTACAATCTGGTTATATGTCTGTCTTGTCTTTCCTCTGAGGGTAGTGAGCAGGCCAGACCCTCTGGTTACACCCAGGTGCTTTATTCTCTCCAAGCCATAATAATCGTCTTTCTCTACTGAATCCGTTGATTGTTCCCAAAGGGCCTTGACCACATCTGCCTTGTCATGATTTAAATCTGATTTAAATGTTGGCCGTTGTTTACCCACCATGCCGGCATGGCCTGGAGAAAAGATCTAAAGTATGTTCACTACCCATGACCTTTCCTGTAAAGATTGCCACTCTGCTCAAAACATCATTGTCTTCACCTTTCTCAGCATGCTTTCAGAGTCTGTTACAATTACGACGTGTGTATGCATCTTGTTCTCTAGCTACCAGAGAGCTGCAGTTACCACCTCCACCTCCATTCTCTTGGTAGATGTTCTGATGTCAAAAGGTGCATATATCACAACCTTGCTGTAAACCACAACCCAGTGTGTCAAATCACCTATAAGGTTGAATCAAGAGAAGAAAACATTCCTCAAGTGTGTTTCTTTTTCCAGAATCCTGGTTTGAAGCAGATATCCTTGATCATGACTCCAACCTTTTCTGTCATCTGATGTTTTTTATGAAACAAGTGTTACTCATATTACTATTACTTAATGCTTAGCTGTTCTTCTTCTGCTTCTTCGTGTTCACTGGCTGTAAACTCTGGTGGCCTATTTATAAGCAGACTGTTGGTTCCTTATCTCTTAGGCGGATACACTCCGACTTCAAATAAAACCTCCCTAATTAGTCAACCCTTATGACATGCTTGTTGGGGGGGGGGGGGGGGGGAGCAGTATATGTTTGCTCCCCCCCCCCCACACACACACACACACACACATAGACAAAGTCGGAGCCCACAAAACAAGCTTTTCATATAGATCTTGTCTTGCTGGGTTTCTTTTGCCCAACACTTTCTAACTTTCTTGTGCAGTCCGTTGTTTGTGTCTTTAGTGTCCAATTTTACAATGGAGAAACACTGCTTTGATAAAATATATTGTGAAAAAAATATATTATCAGATAAAAAAATATTTCAAAGACACTACAATCTAGGACATGAATAAGATAGAAAAAAGCCCAGACATGGGAATTTTAGGGTATATTAATGAAAACTTTACAATTAACTTCACTGTAAAAACACAAATACCTGCTCTTTGCATTGTTGGATGTGCATGACTGCTGCAGCAAAAGATTCTTGAACTTCTCTCATTTTACTCTGCACAATCTCAGGATCCAACTGTTCAAAGAATAAATGCTGTATCTAATTAGGGCTGTGTCTAGAAACATCTCAAAGAGTACAAGTCACACTAAAACTCACAAAGATAAAAGTGTAAACCTGAATGTTCAAAAGCCAAATATTAATTTTTAGTTTTCTTTTTATTTGTTTATTTTGTTCACTATCTTTTGAAAATAATTTTTCAAAAGTGCACTGGATGAATCTGAGAAAGAAAAAACAGAAGTGTCTGGACAAATTCTGGTATCAATAGTGATAAGTGAGTGACAGTTATGATATATAGGGGAATTTCTGAGATGAAGCAGACAAAGAAACATAAAAAGGGCATCAAAATGTGAAAATATGTGCTGTTAGTAGAGCTTCATGCAAATAAGCCACTATAGCAATGACAGTAGCCAGCTTCTCGTGAATAAGCCACTATAGCAATGACAGTAGCCAAGCTTCTCGTGAATAAGCCACTATAGCAATGACAGTAGCCAAGCTTCTTGTGATAAAGCCACTATAGCAATGACAGTAGCCAAGCTTCTCATGAATAAGACACTATGGCAATGACAGTAGCTAAGCTTCTCGTGAATACGCCACTATAGCAATGACAGTAGCCAAGCTTCTCGTGAATAAGCCACTATAGCAATGACAGTAGCTAAGCTTCTCGTGACTAAACCATTATAGCAATGATGGTGGCCGGGTGTCTCGTGAAAAAGCCACTATAGCAATGACAGTAGCTAAGCATTTCGTGAATAAACCATTTTAGCAATGACAGTAGCCAAGCTTCTCCTGAATAAGCCATTATAGCAATGATGGTGGCCAGGCGTCTCCCAAATAAGCCACTATAGCAATGATGGTAGATGAGCTTCTCGTGAATAAGCCAATATAGCAATGATAGCTGAGCTTCTCGTGAATGAGCCACTATAGCAATCACGGTAAAGTGGCATTTTGTTGGGCGTGTAGCTTCAAGAGGCAACCGGGTTAAACAGTCAATCAAATCAGCAGGTCCTTCAGAGAACGCTGCTCTCTTAACGACACACCTGAAAGTCTTGCTTTCTCCAACCAGTTCTCCAGCCCTGTGTCCTTTCACAGATGTTACATCTTTAACATCCTGTATCCATATGCAGCGCCTATGGCTTGGGCATTGTGAACGCGCTTTGTAATGCTGGGGTCCATTTTCAACAGTGGTATCGAGAAGCTAACCGTCCAGAAAGCAATGGCAAACTACTGGATGTAAATCTGCCTAGAAAAATCACAACAGCCCACAAAAATGCTGGGGATGGTTCTGCAGCGTCCTTTAAAGGATACCCAACTAACTAATCCACATGCCCGGAGGTTGGCCTCTGCCTCGTTTTCCAGAAACTGCTCCCTCCATCACCGGTATCTGCAGACCACCATGACGCTTGACATGGCCAACATGTCCCAGCTTTCGGGACAGGCTGCTGTTTATCAGCCAGTTCTCCTATCCTGATGTCCAAGTCGTGTAGGATGTCTGTGTTTTTTCTTCTTGTTGGTCCAAGACATTCTAAGAATTTTTTTCTACAGCATTTAAGTTGAAAAGCTCCAATGTCTTTCTTCTTCTTCTTCGCGTTCACCAGCTGTAAACTCTGGGGGAAAGTTCTGGTTGCTCGTCCACTACTGAACTGCAGTCCTACTCCAGAACCTGAGTGTTGCGTGTGCATCAGTTTTACAGATCCCATTCTTTTGAATACAGACTGTTGGTTCCTTGCCTCTCCAGAGATGCACTCCGACTGCAAAGAAAGCTCCCCAATTAGTCGACTCTTACGACATGCTTTTGGGGAGTCAGTGGGTCTATTCTTGTTTTCCCTATAATAGTGCCCCGGAACCCACAGGGGGAATGTCTTTCTTCAAAGACTAAGTAAGAGTCTATAACTCACATCTATAAGCTGCCATGGGAGAGATGCATGATCTCAAAATTGTTTTACTGTAAGTCGCTTGCAGGTGCTGTGCCATCGGTTCTTCATTCTGTTTAGCTTTTGCATTGCTAAAGTGAGTCTAGGGTTAAACAGTTCCAGAAAATTATCAGATGCCCCTTTTATCAGGCTGGTGGGCTGATCCCTGAGCTGTACTGATCGGACTAAGATACATTCCTGCCACCGAAAGGATTCAACCCTGTACTACTTACTGTCTTGGTAAGCTTAAGGACTGATCACTACTAATACTATAGATTCCTCGTAAGTGTAACAGGTAGGCCCTTGCAAGATAGTGCCGCCAAGTTGACAAGTTTTAGGCTAGCACATATTATAGATTGAGAAATGAGATAAGGTGATTAGTCTCCTTCCTCAGTGCCTTTCCTTCCCAGTTAATTCCCTAACAATTGTTTGGTATCTATTATTATAAGGCTTTATCGATCTTAGATCCTTACTGGTCAAAAACAGAAAGTGAACTTAATAAAAGCCTATAAAAATAACCCTGTTCCTGCTGAGGAAAAGACAAGATATGGCCAGAAGGAAAGCAAAGGCAAACTATTCTCTTCAAATATGCCAATAAAAATGAGGACTCCGAATCTGATTAAAAAATAGAGCAAAGAAATACCTGGATGGTTTGGCTGGAACAAGAACACTGACCTGATCTGTGATTCTGATCATTGTTTGAGATGGCAAAACATGAGCACCTATGCTTACAGGTATGGCACATGATGATGTAGAGAGGTGATGTATATGTTAGACATAAGGACAGTTCCTCATGATTCCAAAGGTCAACATGTGTAAGACCATCTCCATCTGATGGGCCATGCTACTGACATCATCAAACGCTACATTAAGGACAGGTTAAACCAACACATTGAATTTGATTACATCAGCTGGAAACAATGCCCTGTATATGTACATACTAGTTGAAGACTGAAAGAAAATTAATTTTGGTGGTTAAAATCAACATATTTATTTTCACAGAAATTGATTGAAAATGTCATATTTTATGCGGAAAATGGCAAATTTGTACTCAATATTGACTAAGATATTTCAAAAACTAATAAGGATGGCACCACTCAAAGAAGCAAAAGACAAATATAGAAAAACCAAGACATGTGGCTACATCCTGGTACAGTGTAATGACAAAAAATTAAGCACAATTTTAATTATTTTACGTTTATGAGTTTTTGACTTCCATGATACATTTTTGGGAATAATAATGTGCTAGTTTCCCCCTTGCTTTCCACATCCACTTTAGACTACGTCCTCCAGCCTTCAGCAACCTTTTAGATTGCCAGGGCAAGTGAGTGTCCTGCTCTGTGAAACTCCTTTTAAAGAAGAAACTGCCATCCTAAAGGATATGAATATCAAGAAAGATTGGACAGTAAACAGTATCCTGTCTCAAAAACTGAAATATTTTGGCCCTATCAAGTGCCACAGTACAGGCTCCAGTGGACCAAGAGGTGAGGAAAAGACGCTGGTGATGGATAGGACACACACTGAGAAAACAGGAGAACAGCATAATTAGAATGTCTTTGCATTGGAACCCACAGGGGCATAGGAATAAAGGAAGGCAAAAAAAAAAAAAAAACATGGAGAAGAGAGCTGGAGAATGAAGTTAGAAAGATGGGGAGGACATGGGGAGAGCTCCATGCAATGGCAAAGGATAGAATGACTTGGCGTGAGTTGGTTGAGGGCCTATGCTCCATTGGGGGATAGAAAAGTGGAAGAAGAAGAAGTGCCACAGTGAATTAGAAAGAAAAAAAAATAGTAGAAGCCATAGTACTAGAAAAGAGGGGCAGGGGTTGACCTCACAAAGAATATAAGGGACACTTTGGGTTTTCAAATGCATAAAGCGGAGAGCTGGCTGGAGATGGAGTTTCCATCAGAGAGGTCAGGACTGTGAAACTGCACTCACTACCCCTAGGCCATAAACATCAGCTAGTAGAAACAACACAATTACAAAACGGGAACATATATCAAGTCTCTTACATTAAAAGGAAGCCCAAACAGCTTGGCATACTTCTCTGCCTCCTCATATCTCTTTTTGGCAATCAAACGCTGCAGTCTACAAGTAGTGGAAACAGCAGGCAACAATGATATTGAATACATTCTAGCATATTCCCATTCCACCTTTCATTATCAAATAGAACATAAGTCATCAACCAACTACACCAAACCCTTTGAAGATTAGTTCATGACCCAGTGGATTTAGCAGCTAAAGATTGTGTAGGGGGCTGCGTGGTCCTGAGGCATGGTGCCCGCCTCGAGTGCTAGAGGTTCCAGGTTCAATCCCCAGTAAGGGCTGGAATTATTTCACATGGACTTGGAATTCTAGTAATTCCCCCTGTTCTCTGGGTAGTGAGACTGGTCGCCCGGGTGCATTGTTTAGCAAGTAAAAAAAATCCCTTGGCAGTTGGAAATCGGAAGAAGTAGCCTAACGGCGCTGCCTGGGCAAAATTTTGAGCTAAAAATCTACCGAAAGTATTTCAGGATCCTCACCGGTGCTACAGAGCCTGTGCACTGTGTTAAGCTTCTGTCTCAGACTTGAGTTAGAAGAAGAACGGAGCACTTATGGGTTACACCCATGGACTATGATGTTGATCCGTTGTTCAAAACTTCAAAAACCTCAAGGGAGTCTGTATTATTTTGTCAAACCCATGGCTTAGTATATTTTAGACAAGCAATTTGTTTCCCATTCCCTTGCCTCTTAACTGTCCACAGTCTACCTGCAAGAGAGTTTCCATGTGGAACAAAATATTGAAAAGTTTGTTTAAAGTTTCAAGAATATATGTAAAGACTGCTAATCTGTGGTCACAACATGCTACTATTCCTTTGTGTTTATCTTGATTTTTTTCACCAAGATATGCTGATGTGTTGGGAAATGAACAGGCGGACAGACTGGCTGGCTCTGCACAACTTAGTGGAATACTGATGCATGATAAGGCAGACGTGGTTAGTGCCTTGTGAAAGAGCGTGTACAGTTTGGAGGAGCAGATAGATCACCAGTCTGGTGAGACTAATGCGGGGGGGCGGGGGTGTGTGACGAGAGGTTCTGGCAGATGCTCAAGGCTCAGAGGAAAGGCAAGACAGACATTTAATCAGAATGCTACTGGCACTAATAGTATCAGAACTCTTCGCTGGCTGCTGAAGATGGGGACGGGGCGCTTATGGGAATGCCCCGAGTGCTGTGATATCGATTCTTGAATCAAAACAAATCATCTTGACTGAGCTTGCCCATTTACAGAATGGCTGCAATATTTGTGCCTTTTGACATCAGCTGCCCGTGGTAACCCTCCCAATAACAAAGAGTTCAAACAATCAAACAAGCAGTGCTCATGTCTTTACACTTTAAAACAAAACAAAACAAAACAACAAAAATCAGTGACAGTTTTCATAAATTTTCAGAACACTTGTAAAGACTATGGTAGACTACAGTCACAACAAACAGCTGAACTAAGTCGGGTTCTAGTCTGACTTATGAAGTGAAACAGTTTTCAAAATCAATCAAGTACAACGAAACATTTATTCACAGATTTTTTATAGAAGATTTGTGCACAGGGGCAATCTATTGTTGATCCTTAAAAACAACTCATATGTACCTTTTAACTGGATTTATTTCTGTATAACATCGGAAGTAGACTGTAGTTTCCACACCATCTTCACTGTGAAAGAGAAACTGACTGACTGAATGAATTTCTACCCCACCAGGACATCACACAAGCGATAAACACCCGATGACACAAAGTGCCACCATGCGGATGAGGATCACCGTGGAGAGGTCCCAGAAACCGCGTTCAGACATTTGGCCATAATGATGACCTGCCTATATTGCGGCCCCTGGCAAAAGCCAGAGTGGGGCTTCAAATAACAAAAAATTACGTCCTAAGAAGGACGTAAACAATTTTTAAAAAAAAAGAGAAACCAAAAAGTAAAACAGTTATTTGCTATATAATTTGATTTTTGGGGGGGGTTTCCACTTCTGCTGTTAAGCGTTGTGGGGAGGAACATTTTGCGATCCACTGCTTGATTGGCAGCGATGGCTACTGTCATTCCGTTTCTTTTTAGAAGCTCTTTAATGTCATCAATCCATCTTCTTCTTTCTTTCGCTTCAGATCTGTTCATGTGTAGCGCCTGCAGTGACAGTTGTTCTGGCTGCATTCTTTCCCTTCACTAAATGAACCAATAATAACCCCAACAGTGCGTGGCTTTCTTAAGCACTAGCTGCTGAAGAGTTTTGTTAATCTCCCTTTATCCGATTTTTGTCAGCTGATGAAATTTTTCCTGCCACAACGCCTGACTGCCATCAGATTATTTTAAAGCTGATCCTTTCTACTTCCCAATTTTATTCATTTCTTTGTTGGCTTAATATCTCAAGTTTGTCTTCTATGGGTACTTCATTATCAAAGAGTTGGACTTCATGAATATATAATCACTGAAGTATTTAATTTCCATAATTACAGATTTTAACTTCCATAATTCAATCATCAGAGAATTTACCAACCATTATAATGCAATCATCACAGATTTAACTCAGATGAAACTGCATTTATCACAGAATTTAACTTCTATAGTTAAATGATTAAACACAAAGTTTAACTGCTATGATAATTCAGACATTACAAACTTTGACATCCGTAACTAAATCATTACAGAATTTAACTTTCAAGAGAACTAAATCATTACAGAATTTAACTTTTAAGAGAAATCATTACAGAATTTAACTTTCAAGAGAACTAAATCATTACAGAATTTAACTTTCAAGAGAACTAAATCATTACAGAATTTAACATTTAAGAGAACCAAATCATTTCAGAATTTAACTTTCAAGAGAACTAAATCATTGCAAAATTTAACTTTCAAGAGAACTAAATCATTACAGAATTTAACTTTCAAGAGAACTAAATCATTACAGAATTTAACATTTAAGAGAACCAAATCATTACATAATTTAACTTTCAAGAGAACTAAATCATTGCAAAATTTAACTTTCAAGAGAACTAAATCATTACAGAATTTAACTTTTTTTTTTTTAATCTAGTAAATCCACTGACCTCTCACCTTATTGGTGACTATCCATCTATCCACTCAATTCTTCACACACAAATACTTACATACATACAAGACTAGACACACACAAACGTAACTATACTTCAGCACATGACTATACTCCCCCCCCCACCCCTCCCCAAAATTTCCCTCACACATGAATTATCACTCACACACAAGCATACATATTAATTCTCTTTGAGGTGTCTCAATCTTGAACAAAACAGAAAACTTGATGTGGCTCCAAGAACTCCAGTAGCGAGTGTCAGCAGCATAGTTACTGTGAGAGTCTCTCTTGCTGGACACGCCTTGTAGTGTAGGTATGCTGGGTACAATCTTTTTCTGAGTGAGTAAAGTTCAACCCACCACCAGGACTGTGCAATGAGGGATAAATACCAGGTGCCACAAAGTGCCACCATCAGGATAAGAATCACCCGGGTACAAGCCCCAGAAACCCCCTTCAACCACTAGGTTATGTTAGGGCCCCCGACTACAACCGGGGTTTGGCTTTAAAAGAAAAACAAAACTGCTTCCCATGTTGGGGCAGATTACCAAATGTTCTTCTTTGCAATCAACTTTCTATGCTCAGGTTATCAGTTGTATTGCCTGAATGAACCCGCACGTCAGCAGTAAATCTCCAAGGGTTCCTCAAAGTTTGTCCTGGATGTCTCTTCCCTCTGGCCACATTCTGCCTGACAAGGGTGCCGTAGTGAAAAAAATTTGAGAAACACTGAATTAGACCGATCAATCAAGCACATCCAAGAGAAACCCCCAAGATGGACTTTTTCTCGCAAGTTTTCCTGTAGGGCCTAGTTCTGCAGTATATGCTCAGGTGTTTGGAGTGTGGTTTGGCAGGGACACTGGGCGAATTGTGGAGTCTTGACTTAGTGCAGTCAAAGGCTAGAGAAAGAAATTCCATAAATAATGTCACCAACTTTTCACAGAACAAAACAAAAAATGGTACATGCTATGAAAAAAAAAAAAAAAAAACAATGGCAGCTACTTACTCTTCGACTTTACTGCATTCTGCCACGTACACTTCATCCTGAAAATAGTTGTCAACATGTTAAAAACAAAAACAAAACCCCAAAAAATTTAGCTTTTTATATTTTTTTCTTCTCCACGTTTACCGGCTGTAAACTCCGGTTGGGGAAGTCCTGGTCCAACCCTGGACTTTAGTATTGACCCAGAACATGTTTTCTGTGCAGAATTTTTAAGGAGTTGAGACAGATATTGCCCACTACAGAAAGAGACAGTCTGAATTTATAAGGAGTTGAGATAGATATTGCCCACTACAGAAAGAGACAGTCTGAATTTATAAGGAGTTGAGATAGATATTGCCCACTACAGAAAGAGACAGTCTGAATTTATAAGGAGTTGAGATATATATTGCCCACTACAGAAAGAGACAGTCTGAATTTATAAGGAGTTGAGATAGATATTGTCCACTACAGAAAGAGACAGTCTGAATTTATAAGGAGTTGAGACAGATATTGCCCACTACAGAAAGAGACAGTCTGAATTTATAAGGAGTTGAGACAGATATTGCCCACTACAGAAAGAGACAGTCTGAATTTTGAGGTCATGTGATCAGAAAGAGATGCTCAATACTCTCAAGATTATGGCAGCAATGCACATGGAACAAAGAATGTTGTTCACAATGTTCCAGCATGTGATCCTTTCGGTGATAGTTTATGGACTTGAAATGCTTACCATTTCAAAGAATCAACAGATAAAACAGAATGAAGCCATGCGGGTAATTCTGGGATGTACAAGAGATACCCCGGTAGTATGTTGGCGATACATACTTGCACTGCCTACTATTGCAGATAGGCTCAAAGTTCTGCAAGCAAAGTCATATCTCAGGGTAGCTGCAGACAAGAAACGCCTCCTGCATGAAGCCCTGGGTAGAGCTGAGGGTCACAGACTGAAAAGAGGAGGGTCTTGGATGGTGCCAGCTGAAGACACAATTTGACAATGAGTCCATTTGAACTCTGGCTTCATGCCAGCAAATGAGTTTTGCGTATACGCCCATTTTACTGGCTTATTTGTGTGCAGTTGGTTATTCCTTGCCGCTCGGGTAGATGCACTACGACTTTGAAGAAAGTTCCCAATTAGTTTTAAAGGATGTTCCCAATTTGTCAACTCCAACAACATGCTTGCTGAGAAGGTGGTGGGTCTATTCTTGTTTTCCTCATAATGAGGCTCTGGAACCCACAAGGGGACATTAATAAGATAAGGCGGTTTTTTTAAAGTCATAGTGCATCTACCTGAGAGATGAGGAACCAGCAGTCTGCTTACAAATAAGCCAGATCTACCAAATGGATATATATGCAAAACTCAGGTTCTGGAAAAAAACTAAAGTAACAAAATGGATTAAAAACCCAGAAATTTCTGCTGGAGTTTACAGCTGGTGAACGTGAAGAAGAAGAATTCAGGTATGGCAACTACATCTTTTGATTTGTATCTTCTCTAGCATGCCCTACCTCTACTTGTTCTCTCTACATCTAAGAGTACCAATCAAAACATGTTGAGTTGTTTATCAAGAGTTAAAACCGCCATAAGAAAAAGCTTCCCTAACTTGGGATTTCTTGTTGTGAAAGAACCGGAACAACTCCCAAGTCGGGCACAGAAAGAGTGACTTTCCTTGCCATTCATCTCTGATCCTGTCATAGGGCTTGTCCTATGTTGTGGGGGTGTCATGCTTAGTGAGTGTCCACCAACACAACACATTTTACATGTTATCATGGGCTGCATGCAGTCATGGGACGCAGTCTGCACTCTCTCGTGGGACATAGGCTGAGGCTGTGGCGTAGGGGGAGTTCGGATTAGAGCCAGTTTTACATGTTTTGGAACGTTAAAAGTGCTCACATTGTGGAATACAGAACACACGATATCGCCGGCCAGTGGGAACAACAAGTAAAATTCGTTGTGTGTTGCTTGAATCTCACTATGCGTGATACCCCTGCAAAACAGGAGAGGGAAAGGACACGACCAGCGATAAACGCCAAAGGAAGTCACTCTCTTTCTGGGCCCGACTTCGTGAGCTGTATTAAAAAACCAAAGTAAACATAATCCATCATAGTAGACTACACCATGTTAAGAAGTCAGCATTAACTCTCTCACCCTGGGAACGCTAAAAAAAATTGGGTGACAGTGTGGGAAAAAAAATTTAAAAAAAAAAAAAAAAAATATATATATATATATATATATATATATATATATATATATATATATATAAATAAAGGTTATCAATCAATTAAGCGGTCATGCATAGACCACATCTTTACTCTTAGAATAATTGTTGAAGATTCTACAGAATTCCAGTCGAAATTATTGATCAACTTTGTCGACTTCCAAAAAGCCTTCGACAGTATCCATCGTCCAACACTCTGGAAATTGCTTAACATCTATGGTTTCCCTATCAAATATATCAACATCATAAAATCTTTTTATAATGAAACACGATGCTGGGTAAGAACTGATTCCGGCAATTCTGATTGGTTCCCGGTGGAAACAGGAGTGAAGCAAGGCTGTGTCCTATCGCCGATGCTTTTTGGTATAGCAATCGACTGGGTCATGCGCAAGTGCATAAATAACGTAAATTTAGGCATTACATGGGTTGACAAAATTCTGGAAGACCTAGACTTCGCCGACGACATAGCACTCCTGAGTTCAGAACACACAGACGCTCAAGAAAAAATCAATAGACTCCAGAATTTCTCAGAACAAATTGGACTCCAAATTAACACTGCAAAAACAAAAATTCTAGACCTTACCAACAGTTCAGTTGATATCACGCTGAACAACAACAGCCTTGAAAAAGTCAACCCTCGTGTGGGTTCCGGGGCCCCATTGTGGGGAAAACAAGAATAGACCCACTGCCTCCCCAAAAGCATGTCGTAAGAGTCGACTAATTGGGGAGCTTCCTTTGAAGTCGGAGTGCATCTGCCGGAGAGGCAAGGAACCAACAGTCTGTATTCAAGAGAATGAGATCTGGAAAACTGATGCACACGCAACACTCAGGTTCTGGAGCAGGACTGCAGTTCAGTAATGGACGAGCAACCAGAACTTTCCGCCAGAGTGTACAGCTGGTGAACGCAAAGAAGAAGAAGAAGAAAAAGTCAACAGTTTCACTTATCTAGGGAGCAAGATATCTACTGGAGATACCGCACCAGAAATACCATTTAGAATAGCACTGGCATCTAGTGCCTTCAATAAACTGTCCAACATCTGGAAATCAAAGACACTTAGCAAACACACAAAACTCAAGATCTTCAATTCTTGTGTGATTCCAGTACTAACCTATGGAAGCGAGAGCTGGAAATCAACAAAAACTCTAGACACAAAATTAGACAGTTTCGAAAATAAATGCATTAGAAGAATACTAAATTTCAAATGGTCAGATTTCCGAACCAATACACAAATAAGGCAAGAATCCAGGCAAGAGTATGTGTCAAATTTTATACAAAAACGCCGCTGGAACTATGTCGGCCACGCCCTTAGAATGGATAAATCAAGACTTCCTTACCAGGCCCTCATTTGGACACCACAGGGGAAAAGATCTCGTGGAAGACCAAGGGAAACCCTACGTAGAACTATCATCAGGGAAGGCTCGCTCATGGGCCACTCAAACATCCAAGACCTACAACAGATTGCAACGAACCGCCATGCATGGAGAGTCATGACCTCTGCCCTATGTGCCGCACTCGACACAAGAGGAAAGACTAACTAACTAATCAATTCCTTAAAAATGTATGTAGGTAAAAGGAGTATTCAATAAACATGAACAGGGTGAAGCAATAAATGGAATACATTCCCTGGAACATTAAAAAATCATGTGTATTGGGTGACCCAAACTATGACCCTGTAGCTTCTATCAATAAGTCTTATGGGAAAACTTGACACCAACTTGGTTTAAAAAAGCTATTTGGCTCAGAGGACCCACCCTTTGAAGTCGTTTTTTAGTTAATGAGTTTATTATTGACCTCCTAAACGTTTGCACAGACTCAAACCCAACCAATTCCATTATCTATGTGGCTTGTAAACAGGTCACTACAGACAAGTCAGAAAAGTGACATTAATGGGGAACTGGACTTCAACAGAAGTGTCTGGGTGAAAGGGTTGAGCTCTTGGGGTGATGGCAGCATAGTGGCTAGATGCCTGCCTGTTGCACCAAAGGTCTTGGGTTCACGATCGCACAGAGATAGCATTTTTTCCCCCTTCCGAACTGACCTTGGCTTCCAGGTCAACCAAGCCTAAAATGAGTAACAGGTAACGTCCTGGGAAGTAAAGGTAGCCGGTGTGATGTTGACCACATTGACCAATACAAATATGAGTCTAGCACCATATGCTCGATGTGCCACAAGTGTAAAAAGGGTCCTTTACTTACAGTACTATGCACCAAGCTCTTCTGTGCCTGTATCTTTCACGTATACCACTGACTGCCATATTATTACTGAGAAATGAATTACTACAGTGCAGACCTGATAAGAAAAACTCACGATCTAAACCAACTGCTGACTGCGTGGATTTTTACCATGGTTTGGGGAGTCGCAGGACGACCCAGCCTAAAATGGGTACCAGGATGTATGTTCTGGGAAAGTAAAGATGGCCGGCAGAATGCTGACCACATTATCCACTGTCGCGTGCGGATATGCACTACAACACACAAATACTGACTGAGCAAATAGGGCGTCAAAACATTACGTAGTGTTGTTAGGGAATTGGAATCTAAAAGAATCGAAGTCGAAAGGTTCAAGAAGGCAGACGTGTGGTCAGGCCTTGGTGGATCCTTGAGGAAGTTCTAACCCGGGATTCCACGGAGAAATCTTAGCCAAGAGCTGGTACATTAATGTGTTTTGCAGGAAGCAGGAATATTTTAAACTATTGGATCACTCAGCTGACAAGCTGGCAGAATTAAGAAGGAGGGACATTGCCCTGTTATCAAGTATCAGACTGCAGATGAATAGGTCAAAGTAACCGTTTGGACTCTCAAGGTCGTACTGTTGACCCGTAGGGAGTTGTTCAGAATTTGTTATAGAATATAGATTCTAATGTTTCAAGACAGGTGTAAGTGTGCTAGCGAGTGCTTGGAGTATTTGGGTGAGTCTTAACCACTTATCACATTATTGCACATTTTCATTCGGATCATAGTCTTCGTAATACACCAGTGTTACTCTATGTACATGGCCTTAATAATTTAATTCACGTTTTGACACATTGGAGTTGACTGCTATCGTTACGGTTATCATGTTGCGTCATTGGAAATAATCTCTGAATTGTACCTGATCGCACGTCTCACCCACTTAGTGCCGATTGTTTAAAAAAATAGGCGCTTTTCTCATATGCCCGATGCTCCTAATGCGTAAAAAGGGATCTTTACTTTACTGTTTTACTTTACCACTGGAATCCAAGAGTTATAAGGCAAAAAAGGGTGATATAATGGGCATATCCTGAGAAGAAGCTGAAAGAGAATCATCAAACAGGCATTGAAAAGGGAATCAAATAGACCAGCGGTTTTCAAACTGGGTGCTGCGAGCGTATGACAGGGGTGCCGTGAGCGTATGCCGAGGGTGCTGCGAGCATATGCCAGGGGTGCTGCGAGCATATACCAGGGGTGCTGCGAGCGAATGCCGTGAGCGTATGCCAGAGGTGTGAGCGTATGTCATTGGTGCTGCAAGCGTATGCCAGGGGTGCTGCAAGTGTATGCCAGGGGTGCTGCAAGTGTATGCCAGGTGTACCGCGAGCGTATGCCAGGGGTGCTGCGAGCATATGCCAGGGGTGCTGCGAGCGTATTCCAGGGGTGCCGCAGCAATAATCAAAAATGTTTCCAAATCTGCTTGAGATCAGCAAAGACAGCAGTTTAAAACATAAAGCCAAGTAGAGTTCTGGATGATTGGCAAGGCTGCAGTGTATTCTAAACCTATGCTTACATTAAAAACAGATACAGAAGCAACCTTTAAGTAATCTGAGGGTACAAATGAGTAACTTCCTGTAAACATAAAGGAAATAATGAAAAATTTGTCCAAAGTTTCATTCATCGCATTAAAGACAGCTGAACATTAAATTTTCACTGTTTTTTTCTTTCTTTCTTTTCCTAAGTATCCAAACCGCTTTGAGGGTAGGTGTGCGTGAAAAACATTGTGCCTGACAAAGGTGCCACAGTGAACAATGTTTGAGAAACACTGAAATAGACTAATCAAGCACATCCAAGAGAAACCCCCAAGATGAACCTTTGTGAGAGAGGACAAAGATGCTGGACTGGATTCCAATCCATAATATTGAAAAGATTGCACAGGACGGAGCAGAATGGAGTAACAGACTGCAAATTATATAAGGCACACAACATGATGATGATAAGTAATGTGTAATGGAAAACAATCACACCTAAATGTGTTAAGGAAAACAATCACACCTAAATAATGTGTTAAGAAAAACAATTACACCTAAATAGTATGTTAAGGAAAACAGTCCTGCCTAAATAATTTGTTAAGGAAAACAATCATGTCTAAGAAATGTGTTAAGGAAAACAATTCTGCCTAAGTAATGAGTTAAGGAAAACAATCATGCCTAAGTAATGTGTTAAGGGAAACTATTATACCTGAGTACTGTGTTAAGGAAAACTATCATACATGAGTACTGTGTTAAGGAAAACTATTATACCTGAGTACTGAGTTTAAGGAAAACTATCACACCTGACTACTATGTTTAATGAAACTATCATACCTGAGAAATGTGTTAAGGAAAGCAATCATACCTAAGAAGTGTGTTAACGAAAACAATCATACTTAAGAAATTTTTAAGGAAAACTACCATACCTGAGTAATGTGTTAAGGAAAGCAATCATACCTAGGAAATGTGTTAACGAAAACAATCATACTTAAGAAATTTTTAAGGAAAACTACCATACCTGAGTAATGTGTTAAGGAAAGCAATCATACCTAAGAAATGTGTTAACAAAAACAATCATACCTAAGAAATGTGTTAAGGAAAACAATCATACCTGAGTAATGTGTTAAAGAAAACAACCATACCTAAGAAATGTGTTAAGGAAAACTATCATACTTGAGATACAGAAGATTTACTCAAATCAGCAAAATCTGCCCCAGTGGTGTATTCTGAGCTGACAGCCAAAGTTGGAAGAGTCAGGGTTTGAACCTTTCCTTGCTGGACTACAAGAATCTTCAGGTCACTCAGCCTAAAGCTAACCAAAAAAAAATACATCAAGTTTTTAACCAGCCACACAGGAGAATAACGAAGTCTTTTTCCTTCTTCACATTCACTGGCCGCAAACCCCAGCAGAAAATTATGGTTGTTCATCCACTTTCTGGATAAAATCCCTAACATCATACAGGGATGATCCAAAAAAAAAAAAAAAAAAAACATTTGTATGCATATATGATCAATTTGATTGGTTGTCTTATGGTCTGGTGATTCCCTTGTTGCCTTGTGTATTTATTTATTTTTTTGGTGAGAAAATAATTCCACCAACAACATTACTGGTTTCCTGCACATAACAAACTTGTGAATAATTCTCAGTCTTCATTAATTACTCCTAGTCCATGTTTTCCCATAATCTCTTCACAACCTGTTTTATCTGATCCTATCATAGTATTCAGGTCACCCATCAAAAAATTTTTATCACCCGTTCTTTCAGTATTCATAATACTTTTGAGCAGTGTGCAAAATTCCTCCTTAACTTACCATTATCATTTGTTGGTGCATAACAGGGTATTTATTACCGACATGTTCACCACTTTCTGTTTTGCTGTTCTGAATTACACTCTTATTATTCTGGGACTAAGTTTCCCATTCTATTAGTGCCCTCTCTGCTTCTTTCAATAGCACTATGGTGAAAATTTTCCTCTGTATGTCGTGAGAACAAAATAGTTTCCACAGAATTGTCCCCCAGCCCCAGTTGCTACTAGGATATTTGTGATGTGAGTGTTTAACCCACTAGAAGACAGAATTTAAAACTATTTCATTAGAAATGTGAGTGTTTAACCCACTAGAAGACAGAATTTAAAACTATTACATTAGGAATGTGAGTGTTTAACCCACTAGAAGACAGAATTTAAAACTATTACATTAGAAATGTGAGTGTTTAACCCACTAGAAGACAGAATTTAAAACTATTACGTTAGAAATGTGAGTGCCATTCCTTGCACTGATCTGACAAACAAAAAACTAGTCGTTTGGGTATATTTCTGTGTAATATAATGTATTCTTATGGCTCCTGGCATTATGCAAGGTCAGTTAGCAGTAACTTTAGTTGCTGATTGAGGCTGATTCCCATAGGATGTTCCAAAGGTAAATGACATACAATAATAATAACAATGAAAAACAATACAGATAAATGGATAGAAAACAGATAGCAATAGGGAAAGACAAAGAGAAAGTAGCAAGGATAGGGAAAATATAATGGGCATAACAGGGAAAGAGAGAAATGAGGTAAAAATAGCCCAGTAGAGAGTGAAACCAAGGGGTTATATGTATTAATTGAGAGAGAGAGAGAGAGAGAGAGAGAGAGAGAGAGAGAGAGAGAGAGAGAGAGAGAGAGAGAGAGAGAGAGAGAGAGAGAGAGAGAGAGAGAGAGAGAAAGAGAGAGAGAGAAAGAAAGAGGGTGTATTATTTAATTTCAGTCTTACCTGAAAGACTGGGCTATTTTAACATGGAGGAGCCTGAAGTTTGAAACCCCTGCCACAGTCCAGGTATGCACCACAGTCATTGTCAACATGTCCCAGAGGTAAAACTTGCCCTGCATGTGAGTAAATACGAGTAATTTTCAGTCAGGTCTGAAAGTCTGAGGACTGTTACAGGAGTTCTCAGGAAAGTCACTTTGGTTTGAAGGGAACCTATCAGAATTAGGAGTTCTCAGAAAAAGTCAATTTAGTTTAAAGGGATCCTATCAGAATTACAGGAGTTCTCAGAAAAAGTCAATTTAGTTTAAAGGGATCCTATCAGAATTAGGAAATCTCAGACAAAGTCACTTTGGTTTGAGGAGAACCTATCAGAATTACAGGAGTTCTTAGAAAAAAATCACTTTGTTTTGAGGAGAACCTATCAGAATTACAGGAGTTCTCAGAAAAAGTCACTTTGGTTTGAGGAGAACCTATCAGAATTACAGGTTCTCAGAAAAAGTCACTTTGATTTGAGGAGAACCTATCAGAATTACAGGAGTTCTCAGAAAGTCACTTTGTTTTGAGGAAAACCTATCAGAATTACAGGAGTTCTCAGAAAGTCAGTTTGGTTTGAAAGGAATCTATCATTCTTTCTTTCTGTCCACCGGCTGTGAATTGCGACAGCACCTGGATTGTCTTTGTACCAGGACCTGAGTTTTGCGTGTACATCCATTTTCCTGGCTCATTTGTGTGCAGTTCTTGTTCCCTGCCTTTTGGACAGATGTACTCTTGAATTTGAAGGAAGACGTGGTTCCTATCTATAGGATAACTCGCCATTGTTTTGTGGACATGATGTTGCCTTATTTGTGTGGTGTCCTCTTTGTCTACAGATGTTGTCCCTGGAGAACCCCTTCAGGGCAACCTCATGTGGACTGTCAGCCCTAAAGGAAAGGTAGAGGCAGATCAAGGGCATTCCAAACCATCCAAGTAGGCTTTCATAACTACTGAGCCGATGCATGATGCTCTGGTCCTGGGCTCACCCATGGAATCACCATGTCCTGCACATGACTGCTTGACCTCACAACTTTATGTTGAGCTTTCCACTCGTCACAGGCTGCACCCAAAAGAGATCAGCAGTGAGCAGCCCGCAGGTCCAGGACTTCGGTGACCACACAAATAGGTACATTCTTTGTCACGTTATACACCTTTAAAGTTGATTCAACTGTGCCCTTAGAATGACAGTATGGAGAGGCATGCACCAGAAATAGGTTCCCTTGTTTGGTCCCAACACTCGGGCAAGTAGGGCCAGTGGATACGGACATTTGTACCTTTTGCCAATTAGCAGGATTTGTGACGGTCGGACACTGAGACTTTGCTTGTGTGCCATTTTAGCCTAACCAGCAGACTGACAATGGCTGTTATGGTGTATCTCAACGCAATGACGACGACGTTGAGGGATGACAAAGGATGTAAGAAGACAGATTTTATTGCAAGAAAACGCCTACAGATGTTGCTCGTCTAAGCTGGGCCAAAATCTCCTGGTCTAGGGCCGAGTCTCAGCAGTTTAGTTCTCCATTCACTTGACTTTTAACTGAGAGTTGTCATTCAGTAGTATAATCATCAAACGGATTTTCCTCATGTTCCAAATGAGTTTTGATAGACGTCTTCAACCATGCATAGGGATGTGCTGATGAGAGTCCGATTGTAACCTACACCTCTTGAGGCCACCAGCCCAAGATCCCCTTGCCAGCTCTGTTTATGCTCATTTGAGACATTATCCGTGGCGCACGACGGGGACGTGCAGTAGGAGTCTTGCATTAAGGTTCTGTAAAACTCGCTCAGAGAAGGCTGGTGCCCTTAGTGAGGTACGGAGTATCTCCTTATATACATCCCATCGGACTAAACTTTCCTTCTGCCTCACTGTGCCAAGAACCTATCATAATTACAAGAGTTCTCAGAAAAAGTCAATTTGGTTCGAAGTGAACTTATTATAACCCTTAAAAGAGCACAGAGATGCATTAAAAAAAAAGTAAAGTTCCCTTTTCACGCCTTTCGGCGCATCGGGCATATGGGCAGAGCGCCCCATATTTTTACAGACCATCAGCCCTCTGTGGGTAATGTGGTCAGCATTACGTCGGCTGTCTTTACTTTCCCAGGACAGCCCATCCTGGTATCCGTTTTAGGCTGGGTCGACCTGCGACGTCCCATACCACGATAAAAATCCACGCAGCCTGCAGTGGGTTTTGATCGCGGTATGCTGGCTTACGAGTTGGACTCTCAACGCCTTAGCCACGGACGCTGCTACAGAGATGCATACCTTCTGTAAATTAGCAACAATATCAAGGTGTACCATTTATACATCATATGGGCTGACAATCCAACTGTCTATCCCATTCTATCCTGCCTGATCGTTTAAGTATTGTGTACAGAATAGAACCTGGCACCTATTCTGTCGTGAAGTGGTCAAGCTGTTTGCTTCGCGCTCTGAAGATCGTGGGTTCGCTCCACGGCTATGCCCTTCAATTCACGAGTGCAGTTTTGACTGAGATCCCTAGGGATCGTCGCCGGAGAAACGGATTTCGTGCTCTGCGCGACGCTCTTGGCAGGCAGCTAGTAGTTCTGCGGAGAGAGACTGAGCCATATGGGATAAAACCTGGTGCCATGAAGCTAATCCTCTCAACTTTAACCTTTGGCCTTTTTCATTAATGTCTAATCCCTACAGTTTCTCTTAAGACATCCTCCCCTCCTCAATCAATGTTTTTCTCATTACCTTATCCTTTTTTTTTGCTGTGCTCCTTTGTCCTCTTCAGGTCAGATTATGTCCAATATAGCGCCATCTTATCGTCTTCGTGTTCACTAGCTATACACTCTGGCCGAAAGTTCTGGTTGTTCATCCACTTCTGGACTGCAGTCCTGCTCCAGAACCAGAGTGTTGCATGTGCATCAGTTTTACAGATCTGATCCCCTTGAATGCAGACTGCTGATTCCTTGCCTCTCAGGCATATGCACTCCGACTTCAAAGGAAGCTTTCAATTAGTCGACTCCTACAATGCTTTTGGGTAGACAGTGGGTCTGTTCTTATTTTCCCGACAATGAGGCCCTAGAACCCACTAAGGAACGTCATCTTATTATTGTTATAATTTTCTTCGCCTATCATAATTCTCCGTGTGTGTTCCAGGCCCCACTGTGGGGAAAACAAGAATAGACCCATTTCCTCCCCAACAAGCATGTTGCAGTAGTCAACTATTTGGGGATATCCTTTGAAGTCAGAGTGCAAAGAACCACAAGTCCGCATACAAATAAGCCAGATCTGTGAAACCAATGGAGCAAGACTAAAGTCCGGAGGTGGACAAACACCAAGAACTTTACACCGGAGTTTACAGCGGGCGAACGCGAAGAAGACGACAACATTTAATTTAAACAATTTCCTCAAGCACTGGCTTTGGAATGTGTTGATGTTTCATTCCATGTCTTTAGAAGTTCTGTAATTTTTTAATGGCACATGTCAGAAATGAAATAACGTTAGAATTAACTGTACATGAACAGATAAATATTAAAAATTTCTCTATTTAACAACATACTATATCTTAAGTAATATTCAAAGAAAATAAATAACAGAAATAAACATCACAGAGTTAATCACCTTTGAATCTAATGTGACAAAGACCCTTGCATCAGCCAACACCTGTATTTTTACCATTTCAACAGGTTCCTCAGAATCTGAAAATTGTACAAAAAACACACATGTTCTTACAGACAGTTAAAGTTCTAGTTCAGTCATTCAAACTATCAATAAAACCAGAGAAGGCCAACCTGGGCAAAAATTGTCTGAAAGTTTAATATCTGCCGTAAGGCACAAATATCGCAACCATGCTGTAAATGCGGACAGCACAATTATTTTCTGGGATAAATGCAGAAGGAAAAGAAATTGTAATTAAAAATCAACCTAAAACATACAAATAAATTTTTTATAATATAACAAATGAAAGAGGGGCAATCAAATACCAAGTACCTCATACAGGCATTTTTCTCTTCTGACTAGCCTTCAACGGCTGTAAACTCCAAGGGACAGTTTTATCTTTACGTCCACTTCTACACTCATTTTACAGCGCAAATTCATTTTACAGATCTGACATACTTTTTCTTCTTCTTCGAGTTTACCAGCTGTAAACTTTGGGGGAAAGTTCTGGTTGTTCGTCCACTTCTGGACTCTAGTCCTGTTCCAGAAACTCAGCATTGTGTGCACATCCATTTCACAGGTCTGACATATCTGTATGCCGACTGCTGGTTCCTAGCCTCTCAAGCAGATGCACTGATTCAAAGGAATCACCCCTAATTAGTTACCTTCTGCGACATTCCTGAGGAAGGGGAAGCAGCAGGTCTATTCTTTTGTCCCCTAAAATGGGACCCTAGACCCCCACAGGGGAAGACAGGCATTGAAAGGTGACAGAAGAATAAAGGACCATTTACGCGCCTACAGAGGCACTAGGGTATGTTGTGCCAGTCCCATATTTGTATAGACTAGTCAGCAATTATCTCCGACTGGTCCCAGGACCGAATAAGAAAAGAGGAGCACTGGGTGTTGGGCCAGCTCCCCCACCTGAACAAATAATTTTGCTATAGGAACTCACAGGAAAAGCCTCTCTGCGTATGTCTGTAGCCAGATATGTACACCAACTGGCTCAAAAAAAAGCATCAAGATAGGTGTTTGGAGCATAAGGATTATGGCACAAATGCAAAAAATCAGCGCAGGTAGCAGAGGAAACAGAAACATGTGTGGATTAGTGTTGGTAGCGAAAGTTACAATTTTTTTTTTAAAAGTGCATTATTAGGCACTTCCTGAGAAGAAAGGAGTAAAGAAACAGCCAAACAGGCACTAAAATGGGAAAACAAATGAATCGAGAAAGCACAGACATCCAAAAGAAACGCTAAAACAAAGGCTGATGAGAGAGGCCAAAGGCTGATGGGACTTAATTCCACCCATATCGAAATGATTGTTTACGATGGAACAGAATTGAGAAATAGGCTAGCCCTGTGTCATACAATGCTACCTGGGTGTTGCACGTTCATCCGTTTAACAAATCTGGCTTTTTTGTTTGTTTGTTATGCAGACTGTTGGTTCCTTGCCTCTCAAGCAGAGGCACTTGTGACTTCTAAGGAAGTGCTGACCATATCTGTGTAAGCCAGGCTCTCGGTAGGAAATCTGTTATTAGAATCACCGCAAAAAGGTGTAGATATGTTTTGACCAGCATGAGCTCACATTCTTGTGCACTACCACTGCTGTACAAACACCTTTGAATCCCAATGTATGCTCTATCTCAATGGTTACACATCCTTATGTAGCCACAAGATGTAAACTCTCATAAAATATTATTTTCTTTGCTACTGATGAATCATAGGTTTTTAATACTGTGCTGGATACAGAGATGTCAAACTAATGGCTAGATCAAATAGGACTGCTATTTCTTTCAAAGTCGGAGTGCATCTGCCTGAGAGGCAAGTAACCGACAGTCTGCACACAAATAAGCCAGATGTGTTTAAAACATGTGGCACGCAACTCAAGTTCTGGAATTAAAACCAAAACCAAGAAGTGGATGAACAACCAGGACTTTCATCCAGTTACAGCTAGTAACTGCAAAAAAAGAGGAAGAAGAAGAAGTAGAATAATGTAGAAAGTCCTATATAGAGAGGTTTTAAAATGATGATCATAAAAACAGCCACCAGCTAGCTTGAAATTTCTTTTCATTCTCACTCTTCTTCCTTTCTCCTACCCATCTCTGTCCTGCCTGTCCCTTCCATACACAGTACACTTAAACACTGCCCTACCCCAAGAAGATGTTTCCTGTAGAAGCACTTGTCCATTCACCACAGTGTAATCAGCAACACAGAAAGCACCAGAGCCCTGCAAACAACATATTCATAGAGACATTTTGAAACATGACTCATATTCTAGATCAGGGGTGAGGTTTGCATATATTCTAGATCAGGGGTGAGGTTTGCATACATTCTAGATCAGGGGTGAGGTTTGCATCTTCAGGCGTATCGCTGGACCTATATTCTATAGAATGACTTGCATCTCATGGGTGAGATGGTCAACATCATGCCGACCGACTTGAAGTCCGAGAACTTTAGATGGTACCCACTTAAGGCTGGGTTGATCTGGAGCCAAGGTCATTTTAAGGTCCAGCTCTGTTCAGTTTTGAAACCATGGCCATCAGATCTGCAAGCAAGCGATTAGCCAGAGATATGTGGTTACAAATTTTCTAAATCGATGCTCCCTCGTTTTTAATTTAAACAAAGAATGATTCATTTGGTTGCTACATTATTTTCAATTGTTACTGTAGTATGCAAGCGGTTACAACTTCAGGCTCTCACGCAGAAGATCCTAGAATGGAGGTTTCTCTGGGTGGGAGTGGGGGAATCCATGAGAACAGCACTAGCCATTCGGCCCTAAATCCTCTGTCTACAGTGGTAAATACTGTCAGTATTGACTGTAGTATGTATACATCTGACTAGTGAACAGCACTAGCCATTCGGCCCTAAATCCTCTGTCTACAGTGGTAAATACTGTCAGTATTGACTGTAGTATGTATACATCTGACTAGTGAACAGCACTAGCCATTCGGCCCTAAATCCTCTGTCTACAGTGGTAAATACTGTCAGTGTTGACTGTAGTATGTATACATCTGACTAGTGAACAGCACTAGCCATTCAGCCCTAAATCCTCTACAGTGGTAAATACTGTCAGTATTGACTGTAGTATGTATACATCTGAATATTGAATAGCACTAGTCATTCAGCCCTAAATCCTCGGTCTACAGTGGTAAATACTGTCAGTATTGACTAGTATACATCTGAATATTGAATAGCACTAGTCCTTCAGCCCTAAATCCTCTGTCTACAGTGGTAAATACTGTCAGTATTGACTAGTATACATCTGAATATTGAATAGCACTAGTCATTCAGCCCTAAATCCTCTGTCTACAGTGGTAAATACTGTCAGTATTGACTAGTAAACATCTGAATATTGAATAGCACTAGTCATTCAGCCCTAACTCCTCTACAGTGGTAAATACTGTCAGTATTGACTAGTTAACATCTGAATATTGAATAGCACTAGCCATTCAGCCCTATATCCTCTACAGTGGTAAATACTGTCAGTATTGACTAGTTAACATCTGAATATTGAATAGCACTAGCCATTCAGCCCTATATCCTCTACAGTGGTAAATACTGTCAGTATTGACTAGTTAACATCTGAATATTGAATAGCACTAGCCATTCAGCCCTATATCCTCTACAGTGGTAAATACTGTCAGTATTGACTAGTTAACATCTGACTAGATCCAGTGAAATGTGCCAGGCAATAAATCATGCAATCTGATTTTTAACTGGCTTAATACAACTGGTGGGCTGAATGTTCTCCAGCCATGTTGTAGAGCAATGTTTTCCAACCTGTGGATTCTAACCCGCCTCAAAGGGGTTGCAACATTTTCTTAGTGGGTGTTAATGACTACTGTTTAAATCATGTTAGTTGTATTATTTTGATAGGAAATTTCTAATACAAATTTTCAACACTTCTCTTAAAAAATGGCTACACTGCCATGTTCAACAATTAAGTGTACTTCTTCCCCGTGCAGATTTGAAGGCCCAGTGGAAAAGGAAGGAGGCGCCCGAACAGTCTACGCCTTTTAGTACTGCAAATGATGATGATTATTAATAAAACGATAAAACTGATGCAGAACTATACATCATATAAACAGGTGTGAAAACAAAAACAATGACTAAGCAGTAAGGGTTATATTCTAAATGTACATAACTGTATCAAACAATAAAACAAATGTCCTTAGGGTATAATAAATAGAAAAAAAAATACAATACCACTGTGATAATCTGGTTCTGCAAAGTCACCAGATCAAACACCTTGTCATGGGGAGTAGCCAATTTGCCTCGTTTGACGCAGGAAACATCAATATCTGTGACACAGACAAATCCCACACTTGCTGAGTATATAATATTTGAGCACATATAAGATGATCACTACACTTCTAAATGTAAAATGCAAGGCTTCCTTTTCTTATATTTCTCCTTCAAAGTAAATGCATTGCACTAAGCTTGAAGTTTGAACAATGGACCAACATCATGGCCCATGGGTAGTAACCCATAAGTGCTCCGTTCTTCTTCTATATCAAATCCGAGTCCGAAGAAGCTCAGCACAGTGCCTAGACTCTGTAGCACCAGCGAGGATGTGAAATACTTTAGGCATATTTCTAACTCTAAATTTTGCCCGGGCAGTGCCATTAGGTTACTCTTTTTTATTTCCAAGTGACAAGGGATTTTTTACGTACACAACAATGCACACAGGCCTCTGATCTCACGACACAGAGACCAGGGGGAATTACTCTAAGTCCAAGTCCACGCGAAAAAAATCAAAGCTCCTACCGGTGACTGAATCCGGAACCTCCATCACTCGAGGCCGATACCATGCCTCGAGAGCATGCAGCCCCCCCCCCCCCCCAAGCACTAAGTTACGGTTATACACTAGCTCAGAAGTCTGTCCAGTTTTAAGTTATATTAAACAGCAAAACTTCATTAACACAATTTCCATAATATCACAAATTTTTTTTTTTTTTTTAAATTGACGCTAACAAGAGAGTAACCGTACAAATATATCCCCGCTGGGATGTTGACCGAGTGTTCTTCAGAAGCAAGTTTGTATTAACGACATATTACTGCAGTGAGCTGTCTTCTTCTTCATCTTTACTTCCTTTTTTACTGGTGAATACAGAAAAAGCATTCTACGACTTACTGCTTGCAATCCACTCAGATTTGCACATGAGCATCAGTTTATAAATACTAAGTGTTTAAAACAAAACGAAAAAATACATCAGGAATTACTCTCAAACAATACAATTTTCAAAATAAATGTCTAAGGAGAATGATGCTAATGTTTTGCCCAAATAAGATCGCAGATGAAGAACTGAAGAGAAACACAAAATGTTTACACTGGCAAACATTATCAAAGGAAGAATATGGAGATAACTGGGACGAAGAAAGGGAAATGAAGGAATATAAGGTATTATCAGATACCATACGCAGAAAAGCAGCAACAGAGATCACCTGTGTCAACAGCATTTTTAAGAGAATTAACCTAGATAAGACTTTGTGCAATTCTAATCATTACTTAACGGAAAAGTAAGTTAGTTATGGTTCCAACTTAATGGAAAGTCAGTCACACCCATAATTACTCTATTCCTGTGAAAGTAAAAACAACAAAATGCTCACCACTGTCTCATTTGAAAACTATTGAAACAGATGTCCTAGCAAAACAAAGTAAATGCACAAGGCAGATGCCAAAGGTGTCAACAGACAGAAGAGTAAAACAAGTCTTCTTCTTCTTCTTTTGATTTGTTTTTTAGCATGAACTGGCTGTAAACTCTGGCAGAAGTTTCTAGTTCTTCATCAACTCCTAGATTGTGGTCTTGTTCCAGAACTTGAGTTTTGTGTCCATCTATTTTACCAATCTGCCTTATATGCAGACTGTTGATTCCTCGCCTCTCAGGCAGATGCACTCTGACTAGGAAAGAAAACCCCCTAATTATTAGCCTTTATGACATGCTTGTTAGGCGCACAGAGGGTCTATTGTTTCTTCCTGAAATAGGGGCCCTAAAAACTCACACAGAGAGAGATCTGTCTCGTGTGATAACTAATCTTCTTCTTCTTCTTCACGCTCACCGGCTGTGAACTCCAGTGGAAAGTTCTGATTGTTCGTCCACTTCTGGACTGCAGCCCTGTTCCAGACCCTGCGTGTTGCGTGTGCATCTGTTTTACAGATCTGACTCATTTGTATGCAGCCTGCTGGTTCTTGCCTCTCAGGCAGATGCACTCTGACTTTGAAGGAAGCTCCCAGTTAGTGAACTCTTACGACATGCCTTTGGGTAGGCAGTGGGTCTATTCGTGTTTTCCCTCTAACAGGGCCCCGGAACCCACACGATGAAGAGGGTTTAATGTTTTTTTCCTGAAATGGGGCCCCAGAACTCACACAGAGAACTGTCTCGTGTAAAAACTAGTGAAGCAGCACCAGTCTCAGCCAAATATAGTAAATGCATAAGGCAGCTGCCAGAGGTGTAAAACAAGTCAACAGGTTTAAACAAAACAAAGCAAACTAAACAATACAGCTGGCAGTACCTGAGTTCTTCAAAATGATGTCAATAAACGTCATCAGATGTCCTTCATGGGACAAGCAAATGATCTGAGCTCTTGACTCCGTCTCCAGCTCTGGGGACACGAAGACAACACAGAATATAAATAGACCATTTATTCATTTTTAAAACTTTCGTCACAGAAACTCTTACAAGAAAACTAACAAAGCCAAGAATTGCCCAAACAAATCATTACAACAACACAGGTCATCAACAATGGATAATTCTGTTACAAAAGGTCAGTGTGACGGTTGATACCGTTTGTCATGATATCTGCTATATTTGTCCTGGTGCTGAACAAAGCCCAACGGAATACTTGGAACAAAAGATCAGTGTGATGGCTGATACTGTTTGTCTTGATATCTGCTATTTTTGTTTTGATGCTGAACATAGCACATCGGAATACTTGCAGCAAAATATCATGGTTGATACTTTTTGTCTTTATATCTTGCTACTTTTTGTCTTTATATCTTGCTACTTTTTGTCTTTATATCTTGATATGTTTTGTCTTTATATCTTGATTCTTTTTGTCTTTATATCTTGATACCTTTTGTCTTTATATCTTGCTACTTTTTGTCTTTATATCTGCTATTTTGTTCTGATGCTGAACAAAGCACAACTGAATATTGGGGAACAAAATGTCAGTGTAACAGATTATTTCGCATACAAACACTCTCAATTACAAAAATGCTTAACGCATCCCCTAAACTTCCACACGCCCTCAGTCAAAAGCCCTGATATTTTTTTTTAGCGATAGCCCATGGCTCACATCTGTATGTTGCCACAGGAAATCTGCAGGTTCTCAGGATTTTAACTTAAAGTTGATTGCTAATGCTGCGAAAGGATTATATATGCATTGGAATAGACATTTTTTTTAAGTCTTATGAAAAATACAACAATAAATGTGAACTTCTTCTTTTTTACCTTTATGTTCACCAGCTGTAAACTCTGGCAGAAAGTTGTGCTTATTCATCCACTTCTGGACTGAAGTCCTGTTCCAGAAGCTAAGTGTTGCATGTGCATCCGTTTTACAGATTTGACTCATTTGTATGCAGACTGCTGGTTCCTTGCCTCTCAGGCAGATGCACACCGACTTTGAGTTAGTCGACTCTTACGACATGCTTTTGGGTAAGCAGTGGGTCTATTCTTGTTTTCCCTATAAAGGGGTCCCGGAACCCACACAGGGATAATAAATGTGAACTGAATAAAGCCAAGTTTTTAACATATTCAACTCACCTTGCGTAATTAAAAACGAAAGATGAACAAACGTCTTTTCTGTAGGTCCCTTTGCCTCTGGTATTAACATCTGTTCAATAATTTAGGACAATAATCAAATTATCTGCAAAATTGTTGAAGCTTAAGAAGAGATTATCATCAAAACAGAAAAACGCCTGATGAACTAAAACATTATAACTATATAAACAGAAAGAAGCAAGAATGAAACTACAAATCAAGTTAACTCTAGCCTTAGACACCTCTCCTGCATTACGGGCCCTTGAAGTCCATTGCTGCACATATCACCAGCCCCCATTCATCTATGTGATTGGCCATCTCCTTCCAGTTGGTGACTCCATGTGTTTCTAGGTCTGCCTGTATATTATCTCCTCACTGTCTTCTTGGTAGGGGGGATGCGTGGTGTTGAGGCATGGTTTCCGCCTTGAGTGCTAGAGTTTCCTGGTTCAATCCCCGGTAAGGGCTGGGATTTGTTCACGTGGACTTGGACTTTTAGTAATTCCCCCTGGTCTCTGGGTAATGAGATCGGACTCCCATGTGCATGGTTGCGCACGTAAAATAAAATCCTTTGGCAGTTGGAAATCAAAAAGAGTAGCCTAACGGCACACCCGGAAAAAATTTGTAGTTAAAAATCTATCCAAAGTATTTTAGGATCCTCGCCGGTGCTACAGAGCCTGTGCACTGTGCTGAGCTTCAGGCTTACTACCCATGTGCCATGATGTTGATCCATTGTTCAAAACCTGTCTTCTTGGTCTTCCCAAAGTCTACCCCCAATCAACCCATGTACGTATGTAGTTTTTTTTTTTTTTTTGGGGGGGGGGGGGGGGGGGGGGGGGGGGGGGGAGGTCTCTCTGCCATTTTCTTTTTATGCCCCAGCCATCACAGTCTACTAGCCAACACAAAAATGTTTAATTAACTATCAACATCACAGCACTCGGGACACTTCCATAAGTACTCAGACTCCCATCTTCAGCAACAAGTGAAGAGTTTCAATTCCTATGGTAGCAGTAACCGTCTGATTGTATATCCGTCTCATCCTTCCCCTGAGTGTTGGGCGTCAGCCAGATCCTGTGGTAACTCCTCGCAGCACCATTCTCCTAAGACGTAATGATCTACCTGAGCCTCCGCACTGTTTACTTGCTCCCAAAAAGCCCTCACAATATTTAACTTGTGATACATCAATTCACCACCAAGTGGTGCAGAGCCAGACAGTCTATCTGCCTGCTCATTTCCCAGCACACCAGCATGACCTAGAAAAAAAATTAACCCACACAGTAGCAGCCTTATCTACTGTCATGAGAAAATGTGTTTTCTTTAATTAATTTACAAAACGGCAAAATATGTTCTGTCTGTGTGTTACACAGGGAATAAAATAAGATTAACACTTCACCGTGAAGTGACTTTACATGCTTGGTTTTATTACACCTGTAAATGTAAAGTAAGGACCCTTTTCCACACCTTTAAGTGCATTTACTGCCTGACCTTTATTTTATAGTCAACATCACAGCCGCCTTTACTTCCCAAAACTTTACCTGGTACCCCTTAAAGGTAATCAACTTGGGAGCCAAGGTCATTTCTGAAAAGTCTTGCCTCCATTCAGATCTGAAGCCCAGACCTTCAGATCCACAAGCGAATGACTAGCTGCTACACCATGTGGCTCCCACTCAAGCCTGCAGCTGGTCACATATTTTGACAGGTAATTCATTTTCTTCTTCTCTCACCCTTAAAAGAGAAGTTAGATTGCTGTGTTGTGGCTTAAAGCTAGGCCGCAATACCTGCGCCTTTCAGCCTAACACGTCCAGTTTCAGTAAAACCCTCTTCACCTTTCACAACACGCTACTTAAGGGGCATCGGATCTATTCTTCTCCCCTCCCTTTTCTAAAAAAATGGGGCTCTGGAGCCCACATAAGGAAGTGTTTTCCCCCCAGTTCTGCTCTCTCTAGCATAACTGTCCTTAATCTACCTTGCAAAGCAAAAAGGTTTGCATCTCTCTCCGTCCAGCTCTCAACCCTGACTTTTGTTACACAGGAAACTCCACCAACAACTAAGCCCCCATCAGCATAGCTGTTGGGGGGGGGGGGGGGGGGGGGGGGGGGGTCGTCATCTTAACTCATCAGCTCATCTGTCTAGCGTACCAATGTGGAGATGCATCAAAGGCTGAACAGCAACACAGTAAGCCAGCATGCATATTGCAAGGAGTAAATTTGGGGGGGAATGGGGGGGGGGGGGGGGGGGGGGGGGGGGGGGGGGGTGGGTGGGGGGGGGGTGGGGGGGGGGGGGGGGGGGGGAACTGACTACCCTATTGTGCACAAAACTTTTAAAGAAAAAGAATGACCTTGGTTCCTAGGTGGACACAGTCTTAAATGGGTCCCAGGTAAAGTCTGGGAAGTAAAGGCGGCTGGCAACCACATCACCCTGTGAGTGCCGACTAGTCTATAAATATAGGTCTAACACTATTTGCCCAATGCATGGAGGGGGACAAAAAAGACCAACTTTTTTTTAAAGATAACTGGATTCCTCATGTTGCAGATAACTTTAGCTGCAAAACCCAATCAATCATAAACACATTTTTTCCAAAACAAAATAAGTAGAAGAAGAAAAATAAATGGTTATTCACCTAGAACAGTGTTTCCTAAACTTGTCTTAGTCACATCGCATTTTTTTCCAATATAAATGTTTCCACGGCGCCCTAATTTAAGTAAAAGTATGACTTTGTATGTAAGAGAGGAAAAACACACACAAAAACCTGTGTATCTTCAAATATTTAGCGGCGGCACCTGTTTGGGAATCACTGTCCTAGAATATGAATGCAGTTGAGAGAATTCCACGTGGAGTCCAGATCATGGAATTTATTAGGGCCCCAACCCTAGATGGGAGTGGAAACACAAGAATCCAAATGACACATTACAGGGGCCATGGCAGAAGTGTTTTTCTACACACAGGGAAAAGAAAGATAATGAAAATAAAATGTGATACATTCTACATACACATGATAATTTAACGCAGAAGTGATTGTCTCCTTCCAAGATTCCAACTGTCAACACCCCACTCCTCTCTCCAACAGCAATGTATCCTCCGGTCAGGACTGCAATCTCATCAATTGTATTACCTGTTTATTTAAAAACAAAAAAATGTAAACACATTAATCCCTGTGACAAATATAAACAATTGTTTAATTTAAATTATTTTCTAAATACTTTTTTCTCCCCCTTTTGTTTCAATGAAATATCTTTCTGTGCAAACAACATCTCCAGGGCCTCAGTTCGACTTCCTACCTGCTCCAGACTTCTACACCATTTCATAGTGTAGATCAGAGCTGTTTAACTAAGTTTACTCAGGGGTCAACATTTTGAAAACGGGGATCACGGGCCAGAGGCCGGAACCCCTGCATAGAAAGATCATTGATGCACTACAACTGGCAAAGATCCCCGGAGCCACTTGATATGGCCCACAGGCCCCTAGGTGAATAGCCCTTGCAGAATATCTGTAACAACTGACAGATCTTCCTCTCTAAAGATCTTCTTCTTCTTACTGTCCATGCAGTATGGCACTTGCAGTCATGTCTATCCTGCCTTCTGTCCTTTTACTTTCATCAATTTCTGACACAGATGTTCCTAACAGATAGGCCAAAGTATGCAGCATCTTCCCATATTTTAAAAGGAAAAGGATACAATCTATTTTGCAACAGCAAGAGGTTAAAGGTTAAAGGTTAAAGGTTAAAGGCTGGCTGAATGGTTTGAACACTAGTCTCTCATATGGAAGACCCTGGTTTAAATCCTCTATATTGTAATGAGGGTTTTTGCATGTTTAGGGTAAAAATTGTGATCTCAACCTGCACAGTACATGGTGCCGGCACTAGCCCTGCAGCCCTAAATCCTCAGTCTTAAGAATCCCCCCCCCCCCCCCCAACCGTCTAAAAATGCGCCTAAAAAAGTAGCAAATACAGGCAGTGACAATGTTTTATTTTTATTTTTTTAATTAAATTTTTTTTTTTAAATTGGAGAAATACTTACTAAAATTGATGCTGCATAAATCTTGCTCCCGTACAGCAGCAAGAAGATTGTCGACTGCAATGGCCTTAAAATGGCCTCCAGCAGTTGCTGAAACTATATTTGGCTTTTCATTTTCCTAAAAATCAAAACAAAGCGAGACACACGGGTCATCTTCTGAGGTGAAATCAAAGTAAACATAAGGAAAGGACACTTTCCACATCAATGGTACAACAGAGAGAATTATATTTTAAATAAAACCAATCGGCACTTAATGAGCCAGGTCAAAACCATAGCAACTGTCTTTGCGTCCCAGGGCATTTCTTTGTACCCACTGTAGGCTGGGTCAACGTGAGGAACCAGGATTTATTATAAAAATGTACCACAATGCCGAACTGAACCTAAGACCTCAGACTCACCACTGGACTATCATGGCTACTTGCATTAAAAAAAAAGGGGGGCTTTCCTCCGAACACTAATCCCAAAATATCGAGGCCGAAAATATACCCTAACAAGGCCTCAGTCACATGTAAATTGCGGACTTCCGGCTACTTAAATTGCAGACTTCTGCCACCGCTGAGAGTATCTCCCACGCCGCTACACACCACGTGGATCGGGGTTTAACTAGATAACTGGGACTCACGAGCAGCAGCTACCGCATCTCTTGCAGCTTCATTTTATTTGCTTGTGAGTCCCAGCCATCTAGTTAAGCCCTGCTCCAAGCCGTGCGTAGCGGTGTGGGAGATACTCTCAGCGGTGGCGGCAGTCTGCAATTTACATGTGACTGAGGCCCTGTTAGGGTATATTTTAGGCCTTGATAATTTGGGACCGTTATTCAGAGGATAGCCCAACAAAGATATATTAAACAGAACTGACGTTAATACACTCAGGACACATCAAATGTGCTCTCTTTCCCTGCAAAGGAAGGAGCGTTCTGGACTTCTGGTAATTCTATGGTTCACTGCTCATGAACAATTGTTGACACTGTCTTTAATCATCTCTGCCAAATATACATGTAGTGTTTAATTACTGCGTTCATGGCAGCTTTTTATCGTATAGTTAATATAATTATTTCATTTTTTCTTTACTCGCAAACGACTTGTTTTCAATTTTAATTAAAGAATTACATGTTTATTTGTTTGTTTACATTTCTTTTTTTTTTACAGCCAATTTAATGTAATAATAATTAATATTATAGGAGTAGACTAAGAGGCTCTCCTTTAAATAACAGTCCCAAATGATCTATGCCCAAACAGAGCCTCACTCTTATCTAAAATTCGCATTTCTTTTGCGACGAATCAACCGTGTCAAAAGTAGGATTAATTGCGCACAACATTTTCGCGAAACACAATGGATTTTTTACGGCGATTAAACGGCGGCAAAACTAGGATTAACTACAGACGAAAAAATTAGCGGCACGCGAGAATACTGCCCATAGCGCTATCCTACGGCAGGGCCCGAGTTATATGTAAGTTGCGGACCGCTTTTCGCCGACTATAGTGCCACCTCCGAGTGTATCTCCCGCGGCGCGGAAGGGGCTAAACTTGATGGCTAGGACTCACGAGCAGCAGCTACCGCAACTCCTGCAGCTTCCTCCAATGTATTTGCTCCTGAGTCCTAGCCATCTAGGAGGTGGCACTATAGTCGCCGGGAAAAAAAGTCTACAATTTACAGCAGCTAGTTTTTCTGTCAGAAGTACCAGCGTGCTCGCATTCGCCACGGTCAAGTGGTGGTCGGGATAGTGGAGCGCCATCGTAGTGGCTGCTGGTTTGAAGTTGTCCCGAGGCGATATGCGCGTACATTAAACCGTGCATTTATATCATGTCTCGCCCGGAACGAGAATCGCGGACAAGCCGTGCTGAGTTGGTACTTTAGTCAAATTTTCCAAATTCCCTCTACACCAATAAAATCAGCACAGTTAGCTGTAAACAATCTCTTTCCAATGGTACCTCATTTAGGTTTGTATGTCATTTCTGAGCAGAAATATGTAGGTTTTTGTGGAGATGAGATGTAAAAAACAGCTGTTGAAAACTTGCGACCCAGAACAAGAAGTTTCTCTGCGCAACCAAACTGCGCACTTCTGTTTTGGCTTTGTTGACATTAGACTGTCATTGGACAAGATGGCAGACATTGGAGACACAGCCACATACCGATTGCCTACAAAATGTTACGGTAAATTTAAAAAGCCACTCATAAGAAAGAAATTTTATTTACAAATGTAAAATTGGACGGAGAATTCAATTATAACTAGCATTACCAGTACGAGTAATGATAAAGCCTAAAGCCAACCCTGAATACTTATAGCTATTTTCAATCAAACTGATTAACAGAAAAACAGAGGACGTCCGGCTGCCGTACACATGCGCTGTTAATCGGGTTCCTTCCCGCCGTTTTCAGCTTTTTATAGTGGGTGAAAATCACACCAATCGCAAAATTTCATGAGAGATTAGGACCCATCCCGAAACCCCAGCCGACATTTGCGATGCAAGTTTCGGTTTCCATGGTAATGGAAATTGCCAAAAGACCGCCAATTGCCAAACATCGCAGTCGCTAGCTGAGTTACAATGGCGGACAGCAAGAAAGAACAGATATTTGCGCACTATTTGCAACTTCTGTGCCACAATTTTCACGTATAAAGGATGTCAATATCGGTAAGTAGTAGAACTCCCCCATTTTCCTCATACTTTTCGTTCCTTATATTTCCCGAGTTACAGCTTTCAAATGTTTGTAGGGCAGGACGTAATGAGGCTCTGTTTGGGTTCACTTTCTGCGCAGATCATTTGAGACCGTTATTTAAAGGAGAGCCGACTAAGTCACTAAGAGAGTCATCTTAATTTACCAATGCCTTTTTAGATATACACTGTGGTCAGCATCGGCACCTTTTCTGTTTCTTCTAGTATAAAAAGCGATGCCACTGATATAACAAATTCTTGCCCGCTGCCCAACACATTTTTTTGATGTAAGTAAAAATCAAAACAAGCAGATTATGTCAGTACCTTCGTTTCTGAGACAAACTTGACTATTGTTTCGGCGCCACACGTTGTAGTTTCTCCGAGAGACAGTGTCCATTTGGATTCCATTTTCTTGTAATTAGAAGACGAATATATGTGTGCCTGTCAGAAAAATATACAGTAACATTAAGTAAACACCAACAACTTGTGTAAAACACTCAAAAGTCGTCCATTCGCGCCGACACAAATAAAGCCAGATTGGTTGGCAAACTCACTGCTAAACACAATATTTCCTAGAAGTAATTTAAACAACTACGTCCTGTTTTTATTCAATATCGCATAGCTTATGTATTAGAATATTACCTCAATTTCAACTTAATGTGTTTTTAAAAAAAAACAAAGTTTTTAGATGTCTCAATGCAACTGTCACTTATTTTTAAAAAGTTAACTTGAAAAATAAATTAACAGTCTATATTCCTACAGTCTGTAAAAAAAAATGTAAACACAATCTATGTAACATTCTTCGTGATGCCAGGCTGATCCAGCTGAGGGCCATGCACCTTGCGTTGGTTTCAACAGTGGGATAAAGAAAGCCGGCCGTTTAGAAAGCAATGGCAAACTACTGGACGTAAATTTGCCTAGAAAAAATACACAACAGCCAGGGGCTGTTGGGGTTGGTTATGCAACGTCTTGTAAAGGATACGCAACTAACCTAACCTGTGTAACATTAGATAGCCAGAAGTAGACAAACGTAAATATCCAATATCGAGATGGAAGAAACTTTATTCCAAGTATAACCTAAATGGATTGAACAGGATATCGTTGCTCAAACTACTACTACTGCTATTACTACTACTACTAAAAAAATACACCGTACTGGCAGCAAGAGACAATGCTATTTGTGTATTTTATGCTTCATCATAAGCCTAACTCAACCATGTAGTCGCGCACCCGGCAAGGTACGACTGTTGCGGCTGATCCATGTGAGTTGTAACCTTGGGGCAGGACAACATAGTGGGAATGGTGTTTTGGGGGGTCCACGAGAATGTTCGCTAACCTGTTTCAAAATGTTACCCAGTGTTTACTCAAGCCAGGAAATATTTGTCGGTTAAGTAAATATTTTGGCAAGAGGGAGGGGACTTGACACGGGATGGACCAGTCATCAACTTTTTCAACATGCTGTATGTAAAAATGTAAAGGAGCCTTTTTGGGCGTGTAGGGCATATAGGACTTCCCCTATATTTTTATAGACCAATCGGCACAAGATGGATGATACATGCTGTATGAATCATTTACAAGTACATATGTGTACAGCTGGTTATCCAAACGAAAAGACAATTGTCAAGGTCAGTCTTAAAATGCGTAAATTTTTAACTAATTATGTCTTTTGCGATTAGTGAAAACCATCATACCAGCACTCATAACAAATCCATATATGCTATAGCCACCTCTTCAGTAAAAGGACTGACCACACTTGTTCTATGTTGATTAATGAAACGTTTTGTGTCATAAATATGAGTCCAAGATTAGCTATTGTGATTATACACATAGGTACGCAATCTGTATTGTATATTTTCATCAATAAACAAAATACCAGCTGGCATGTGATTTCCTAAAAATTAATAATAAAAAATAAGAAATAGCTGTGAACAAACTAGTAAATTTACTGTATTCTGTTAGTGCTGCTATGGTTACAAAATATGTATTTAGTTTGAGGTCAGCATCCCCAAAGGAGGAGCTTTAGGTTATAATTGTGACAGGGTTCAATATCGCATTCCGTAACACTGTGTGTCGCTGGGTCCTCAGTTTTTGTTAACTGTTTGAACAGCTCTTTCTCCACCTTTGGCGGTCACTTGCGATCGACTTCATGGCTGCATGCCTAATGCTGGTCCAGTCAGGTTCTGTAACCATTTTTTTCTTGGTCTGCCTCTTCTCTTCTTTCCTTCTATTGAGCCCTGCAGTATAGTTTTTGACCACCAAGTAGTTTTTAATAGGATCCTTGCAATGTTGATGCGATTATAGGAGACAGACAAAAATACTATCGGTGATGAGCGATGAGAGAGGGAGTGTGGAAGGATATAGATGTATAAGTTAAAGTTGAGAAGATCTTTATTCATCATATTCAGCGACCGGGTCATCCACTGACTCGCCGATAGACGACTTCGTCGCCCGTCAGGACAGTAGTTGGTCCGGTCTCCTTTTGTGGCATCAACACTGGAGGGATCCTTTTTACTGGCATGCAATGCTAATTCATTTTATATGGCTCACATAACTTGGTCATATGGATAACCTAAATCTCCCCCTTAGGGAACGTTGGTGGAACGAGGCGATGATTTTTGCAGCAAATCACCTACCTACCTATCGACTGCATTGAATCGAGTTTTATCTCATTTACCTCGGTCTATTTCCACAGAACAACTAGCCGCCTGCCAAAAAGCGCCACACAAAGCAAGATCCATGTAGCTCAGGCAACGATCAAATATCCCCAGGGATTACCGTTCAAAATTACACTCCTAATATAACCGGTACAGCCATGAAACAAACCCACGACCTTCAGAGCAAGAGTCAAACTGCTTGACCACTTACCCAGGGAGATCCTCCACTCCCCCCCCCCCTGCACCCGCCCCCCCCCCCTCCCCTTTTCCCAGGAGATTTATAGAAAGGGTGGTAAGAAAGTACGAGAAGGGAGAGAATGACAATGAAACACAGAAATAAAAAAGAAAGTTAACATTACACCTGCACTTTAAAAAATGCGCAGAGGCGACCATGCGCAATTGTATTAAAAAAATATTAACTGCTTAAGAATAACACTCCGAAGATTGGTTAGGGCCACGCTAGCGCAGTCGATAAGAGGCTCGCTTTCAAATCCAGCTGTGACTCAGTGCAGCCCAAGGACGGTGTTCGAAACCGGACGGTTCCCGAGGTTTACCTAGCCTCTAACAAATGGGTACCAGAGTTGACACTCTGGGGTAAATGGAGGAACGTCGCTGTAGCTACAGAGTTACGTGCGAACAGCGACACAGGCGGACAATTCTTATCAGCTGTCCGTACTGGTGGCAGAGCACTTATGGTTTATAACCGTGTGCAATGACGCTGGTTCACATCTCCCGACTTTACCTTTACTTTTTTTTACTGTGAAGATGAATATAAATGTGGTCTCATCAAGGATGTATTATCATTGTTAGTCAACGCTCAGCTGGATTTTTTTTTTTTTACGCGAACTCATTGTCGGTTCCTTGGAATTATTGTTACCGAGGTTTGCTGTAAATACTGGGAGTCGCCGTGGTGTAGCGGCTAGACGCTCGCCTGCGGATCGGGAGGTCATGCGTTCGAGTCCTGACAGAACCAGGCTTGCTTCAGAATGACCTTGGCTCCCAGGTCGACCCAGCCTTGAGTGGGTACCAGGTGCGGTCCTGTGAAGTAAAGGCGACCGGTATTATGTTGACCACATCATCCACCAAATACCGATTGGTCTATAGAAATATAGGTCTAGCCCTATATGCCCAATACGCCTGAAGGCGTGGAAAAGGGTCACTTACTTTGCTTACTGTAAATATTAATGGGCTTGGTAGCTTTGATAAAGGAACGTGTTTATAAAATACTTCAAGACTTGACACTCTCTCCTTTCCACTCCTTTTGTTTCAGGTTACAAGGTCGATTACTAAAGGGTCTCCATAGCGAAGTAGTCAAGCCGTTTGCCTCGCGCTCTGAAGGTCGCGGGTTCGTTTCACCGTGGCGCTGTTCAGTTCACAAGGGCAATTTTTACGGAGATCCCACGGGATCGTCGCTGGAGCTACGGAGGTCGTGCTCTGTGCAACGTTCTCGACAGGCAGCTAGTTGTTATGTGGAGAGACTGAGACATATTAAACCCTGGTGCAGTGAAGTCGATCCTCTCAACTTTAACCTTTAAGGTCAATTACTTATTATTTTTTTTAATCCATCCCCTACACTGATCAGTACCTAAGATCTTGGGAGTGACAGACACATCTTTAACCCCTGTGCTAACGTGGTTCTCACAAGTCGTAAAGTCGGGGGTCGTAAAGGTAACTTCACAAACCATTGGTGTATTGGGCATAGCAGACTAGACTTAATCGCGCCGCCACGGAGAAAACAACCCCCTTCCACCGTCGTATAATTTTCGCTGTGTGGGGATATGCAACTTCCCCTCCCCCCCCCCCCAATTAATTGACGCTTGTGCCCCTTCCTGATAATTTAAGACATTCTGTAAAAACGGGGGGGGGGGGGGGGAGGAGCTAAGACCACCCCCTCCAAATTACGCCCTTCTCACCACCCTTCACAATGTCTAGACAAATAATGGGTGAGGAACTCAGGTCGCTGAGTGTCTCCCCCCTCCCTCCCCACCCCTTATCCACCCAAACTAAACACATTAAATGGAGCTAATGTCCTCCATCCCAATAATTTTGTAAGGGAGCTATCAAGCCCCTTTAATCATCACACACACACACACACACACACACACACACACACACACACACACACACACACACACATATATATACATATATAAAATACCAGGCTCGCTAGCGAAGTTGGTTAAAACCCTCTGCACGGCGACCGGGTGACGAACTCCTTGTGGTCCGGGTTCACGTCCGGGGGTAGGCAGAAAAGCCACATCTCTAAAGAATTGACGGTATCTATCATGGAATCAAGGCCGATGGGTTGCGTTATCCATAGTACCGAGCCAAAGGGTTTACAACATGGTTTCTGGATACTTAAAATATCTACATAAATTCCACCAGACTTTACAGCCAGTCAACGCGAAGAAGAGTAAATATTTTATAATGTATATATATATATATATATATATATATATATATATATATATATATATATATATATATATATATATATATATATATGTTTTGGTTGTTCATCCACCTCTGGACTTTGAAAATATTATCTTTGAATGTGTTTTTACATTTTCTATATTTTTTCTATTATATTATTATATTTCTTTGACATTCAGCACATTAATATTATTATAAATGATTATTATTAAAATAGTGTTATTAATGTGCTGAACAGCACAATACAATACTTGAAAAATATGAAATGTGTAAACAAATACTTTTAAAGCTAATATATATGTTAGTCCCCTAACATAATTG